TTTTGTTGACTTTTCCCACTTGGTTTTAAAGGGAGTCTATCACTGGACAGATTTTTATTTGTTTCCAGGCGAAAACGCCAATGGAAGAAAACACGCCACTTGCAGATCTCAGGGCCCGGGTTTGACTGCCGAAGGTGAGACGAGTTCACTCGAAGATGCTGGCGGAGCTCACAGGAAACACCTGGAGCTCCGATCTCGAGGAGCGACCAGCGTCGCGCTCGCTGGTGCAAGTCGTTTTCGTCCAGGGTATCGCTAGGAACCTGCCCCTCAACAGTTCCCTCTTTAAAACAAGCCAAAGAAAAAACGTTTGCGTGTGGTTGGTTTGCTAAAAGATGCATAATCCACGGGAGGCGTCCAACTTACAGCAGCAAGGAAGCCGTTTGACCCGTTGCTCGGGAGCCGGAAGCTTTTGAACAAATTTTTGTGGGTATGGGTCTTACCAGGGCAAGCAGTGTTGGGAACATATTATTGACCCACAGCCACGTGACTGCATAGGAGTGGCTGGCACCATCCCCACCAAGCTTGAAGTTTTCTTCTGTGACAGGAAGCCGGACCTTTACAGCTCGCCATCCAGCCAGGGACGATGTGTTTGGTTTTCTTCCGAGTTTTTCCAGATTGGTCGGGGGGGGGGGGGGGGCTTTTTGGGGCTTTTCCTTTCTTGCCGGCAAGCAACTGTGCATGTTTTTGATGGCCATAGGTGAGATTTCGATGGTTGGAACACCCGGCCAATGGCTGAGAACAGCTGGAGGCTTTCAGAAGACTCCCTCAAGAACTGCCTGTCCGCTTAAAGCTTCAACAAATCAATACCCTCCCACACCAAGATGGAACCCGACGTTCGGGAAATGGTGCCTTTACAAGGAATATGGTCCAAACCAGCACCCCCCCAAACGTCGAAGGGTTCCATGTGTTAAGTGGTGGGAGGGTAAAGACAACACCACCATGCCCGCAGGAGCAGAAGTTTATTCCCAAGGGCGCTCATGCCGGGCCCTCAAAAAAATGAAAACGAGCCGCGCGTTCGCGGGCCGGTGGGGGCGGAACACATTTTGTCAATGCCAACTATGGAAAGTGCATACTTGGATTTACCGTGACTCATGTGTGACTCATGTGGGTGGCGGGTAGAGTTCTGGACCCTTTGGAAACTTGCATGTTGAGTTGATTGACCCTTTGGGCCCAAAAGTCCTGAGAAGAAGTTGGGGCGTATGCTGGACACTGAACGGGTCGATTTTGCAAGTCCTGGTCTTTTCGGGTTGGCTGCAAAAGAGACTCGTGGTCATGGGTCGGGGGGACGGGGGGGGGGCTTTGTTTTTTTTTGACTCCGTTCAAATTTTGGGCTGCAACCCAAGTTTTGCCAAGGGAGCCCAGCCAAGTTCTAGTTTTGTCATTCGAGCCAGTCATTCGAGTCAGCAGGTGTCAGAAAAAAAGATATCCCCTTACGGGTTGAGGTTTGGGCTTCCCTTCCGTTTACATCTTCTGGGGTTTCCTGAAGCCACAAATCCTGCAGGAACCTGCCAGCAACCCCAGTATAATTTCGGTGACTTACAAACACAATCGGGTACTTAGATGGTTAGCAAGACTGGTGAGATCACCCACATATCATATATCAGCCATTTTTTTTTTTCTAGTCTCCGTGTGGGTCATAACTCACCAGGCAAACACCGCTGACCTGCTGTACCGAATCTGCATCCATCGCCCCAAGAAACAATATCCTCTTGGCTGAGGAATGATCGATTCCCCCGTACGGCACATACTCCTCGCCCCTTTTGGCCCCTTTAAGCAAACAACCCCCTTTTTTCGGGACATAAACCAAGCTGAGAAACAGGAGCATAAAGCCAACATGCAAACCACCAAGTAGGGGGAAGCCAAAGAACCCGTTCTCCTTGGTCTTTAGTCACCGGGTTTCGGTGACTCTTGAGTCGCCTTTCTTTAAGCTCTCACTGGCAAAGCAACCATGATAGGGTGAGTACAATTCCTTTCACTAGCATAGCACCTATAAATCAGCACACAGACAATCAATTTCCTCTTGAGAAGACCCCCCCTGTTGCTAAACCCTAAACCCTAAACCCTAAACCCTAAACCCTAAACCCTAAACCCCCCTGTTGATACAATACAAGTGCAGGTTGCACACCACCGCCCAAGGGGGTTTCTTCGTGAGGAATGCCCCTCGGATGCGCGGGTCCTCGTGACCTTCAACGGCCCAGTGGTGCTGCAGAGGCGCGACCAAAAAGCCTTAGCGAAGTGGGAGCCATTTTTATTTTTTTACTATTATTATCATTATTATTATTATTATTATTATTATTATTTTCGGGGTCGAGGGGGGAAAAAGGGGCGATCTTCTAGGGGGTTATAGATGCAGACACTCTTTCTTTTTGTTGTTGTTGGATATTTTGAGGGGGAACCGATTTCCAGGGGGGATAGATGCAGAAACCATTTTTTCCCGGAGAAGTTTTAGTTTCCGGGGACTGATGATGTTCTAGTAGCTGATTTCCAGGTCATAGGCGGAAACTTCAGGGTGTGGGTCAAACATAGGGCAACCCCAACATGGGAGAACCTCTGGTTCTGGAAACAAAGACTCAAACCTGCGGTCCGATTCCTGGTTTAATTTTGATCCATATCCGTGTTCCTAGGGTATTTTTTGTTTTTTTGGCTCCTAGAAGCTCTAGAGTTTGGGCTCTTTGCCTTCAACTGATGGACAAGGTCCATTTCGCACCAGTTGGGATTTGTGGTTGATCAAGAAGTGGTGAAATCAGGTTTCATGTAGCCCAATGGGTGCAAAACGGATCTTTTTTCCAGCCACAGTAGGTGTCATCATGGTTTCCACAACCCCAAAAAAGTGCCAGGGGTGTACCATTTTGGGGAGAGGGGGGCAACTCCCAAGTTTCAACCCACGGGCAGTGGTTGGTAGGGGAACCCCAACTGCAAGAGCACAGTCATCTTCCAAAGCCCGTCCACTTCCATTCGAAAGAGTCTTGACACGTGGCTGTGGGTGAAAAACGGGGTAACCCCAAAATGGCTTGTTCTGGTAAATGGAGCCAAAGACTCAAACCTGCGGTTGTCTGGTGGCTCAATTTTGACCCACAGCCACGTTGGCATGGCTCTTGACACGGGCTCCCTTTGAAACAAAGGTTGATTGGGGCCTCGATTCCAACCTCCGTTTTGGGCGTTTTGGGCGCGAATCCATGCGTTGTTTGTTGCATGGGGCGGCTGTCTCTTGCCAAACAATCGAAGGTCAGGCCACCCTTGGTTTGGCTGGGTTTGGATGGGTTTGGATGAGTTGAAGCTGTGGTTCTTGAGGGTACACGGGAAGCCACCACCAAACCACCGATCCAAACCACCAAGTTGAAGCCAAAGAACCCGTTCAACTTTTTGGGCTTTGGGCCGGGTTTCGCCTTTCTTTAAGCTCTCACTGGCGAGTCGCAACCATGATACTGTGGATGGACGAAATCCTGCACCACCCAAGAAACCCTGGAATGATGATTCCCTCCGTAAATACCAACAAACAATGGTTTCCATTGGTTTCAAACTGGTGCGAAATGGATTTCGTCCATCCACAGTAGGGTGACACTTCCTTTCACCAGCATAGCACCTATAAATCAGCAGACAGACAATCAATTTCCTCTTGAGAAGACCCCCCCTGTTGCTAAACCCTAAACCCTAAACCCCAAACCCTAAACCCCCCTGTTGATACAAGTGCAGGTTGCACACCACCGCCCAAGGTTGAAGGTTGAACTTAAAGATGGTGTGCTGATGTGTTTCCAGGTTCATCAAGGATCCGTCCATGTTCGAGCTCAGAACAGGCAGGATGCATGCATGTCACCGATTGCAGCATGTGAGAGGGTTCGAATCCGTTTGTTTTGACGATTCCCAGCGAAAGGTTTCCCTTCAAACACCTGGCTTTCGACGAGTCGTTGCTTTGCTAGTTCGGCTTCTCCGGCTTTTCTGTGTGCCATGGAAATTTTCACCGGTTCCTTCGCTTGGGGTTGGTGGCGATGCCCATCATGGGGACTTGAGATGGCCAAAGGATCCAGCTTAGGGAAATATTTCCTGAGCCACATGGGAATTTTCGCCGGGGCACATATGAATAGGTGTCAAACTGGGAATCGTGGCCAGGTGGTTTTTCTGGTGTCCCTCGAAACCAACCCGAAAGGGTACCCAAAGAAAAGGAAGAAGGAAGAAGGAGAAGGAGAAGGTGAAGGAGAAGGAGAAGGTGAAGGAGAAGGAGAAGAAGAAGAAGAAGAAGAAAAAGAAGAAGAAGAAGAAGAAGAAGAAGAAGAAGAAGAAGAAGAAGAAGAAGAAGAAGAAGAAGAAGAGGAGAACAAACAGAACTCATGTGGCTGTGAGTTTTAACGAGGAATTCCCTCCAAGGTGGTTGGTAGACACAAACAATTCGCACATGATGTTCACCGCAGAGTCCCACAAATTAAATTCACACCCACATAAAGTAAAACAACCTCCAAAAAAGATGGTCTATTTTAGTCTTTCCAAGCGGGGTGTTGGGGGGCGGGCTGTTTGGGGATTGGTTTCTGTTTCGTTCCCTTTTCCCTTCAAAATGCTGAGTCCCCTTGAAGGAAACCACCAGTTGGATGTTCTCTGAGAGTCGTTCCAACGCATTCCCTGCTGGTGCTCAGCAGGGAATGAGTTGGAACGACCCTCACAGACCATCCAACTGGTGGTTTCCTTCAACTAACATCAGCAAGAAAAGCGAGATACCCACGTGAACGTGGCAAGGCCTTCTTCAGCAGTTCGCGGTGAAGTCTGTGGCACCCTGCGAGGGCGAGGCGAGGGCGAGTCTTCTGACTTTGGGGTCTCATTTTGGATGGTAAAGGGACGCAAAAAGGACACCTCCAGGAATTGGTCCCCAATCTTGAGAACCCAAATCAGTCTGTTCTTTACAAGGATCCTTTTACTTTTTGCATTTGAAGAAACACAGAGTGGCAAAACTACCACTCTTGCCAACTTACAAAGACAGGATTGGGCACGAAACTCTGGGAATTGGAAACTCAGGACCATTGGTGCAGATGGTGAGTTCCGGAAGGCCGCACTCTCTGAGATCCGACTTGAACTTTTTGGGTTTGGACCATTTGACTAGCAAGAGTGGGGGCGCTTGTTCCAATCTCGGGAAGGGACCAAGAAAGTTTTGGGGGTAGATCCCTTTACCAGGTTTGAGTTGCCGCTCAAGTGACACTTTGCAAACATCCCATCCACTAAGAGCAAAGTGCCAACATTGGGAACCTTACATGGAACCGTCCACAGTAGCAACCTGAAATTCCTTGTTACCTCACTTGTTTGCTCAACTTGCTCCACGCGCATGACGTGCATGCGCCAACAGATGGGAAGCCTCCTGTGTTGGACGGTTCCAAAAAGGCCGTCGCGGGATCGCCCCGCGGCACTAAGAGCCTTTTTAGGAGCGCGTCCAGGTTTCTGCAGTGGCAGCAAGAATCGCTTCGCGGGCTTGTTGCTTTGGAGCGCCTCTTGTCTTCTTGCGGTTGCGGATCCCGCATATGTGCATGAGTGTCAGATTTACCCTGACACCACTTTTTTCACCTTGGACACGATTCTCTTTCGGTTGAAGCAGGGGGCAGTGGCCCACTCATGAGCCCACTGCCAACGAAGCTGCTCATGAGTTGGGAGGATATCCGGAGTGATCATTCGGACGTACCTGCAGTTGCAAACGTGTGTGATTTGTTTTGCTGTTGCTTTGTTGACTCCGGTTGTGATGTGTTGCCGCTGTATGCTTTTCGTCAGCCAAGCGAAGCCATCGGTCTCGCCACCCGAAAACCCACCCACTCGAAACTTACCGGTTGTACTCGAAAGATGAGAGCTCTCCTTCGGGAGTTGAAGTGTGTGTGTGTGTGTGTGTGTGTGGGGAGGGGCGTGCTTGTGTGTGTGTGTGGTGTGTGCGTGGGTCTCGTTGCTTTTCTCCGTTGTTCCCCTTTTTCCTTGTTTTTTGGCTTTGGCGCTTTCTTGCTTTCTGTCTTGCTTTCTTTCTTTTCTCTTTCTTTCTTTTTCTCTTTCTTTCTTTCTTTCTTTCTTCCCTTCCCTTCCCTTCATTTCCTTTCCTTTTCATTTCTGTTTTTCCCCTTCTTTCTTTTTTCTTTCTTTCTTCCCTCTCCTGCTTGTCTCTTCTCCTCCTCCTCCTCCTCCTTCACCCCCTTTCTTTCCCTCCTTCTCTCCTTCCTATTTCCTCTTGGTCCCTCCTCTTTCTTCCTCAGTCTCTGAGTCCTGCTCTGTGTGATCCCCAGCCAGCGGTGCGCGCGTGAGCCGTTTGAGGCCCACGCCCACCGGCGCCAGCTTGTAGCTTTGCACCCAACAGCAATACGGAGCCCGCGCGTGTTTCTTTTTTGTGACAAAAGCCAATTTTCATAAGAGCAGCGATACCTTTAAAACAGTACATGGCCCAACCCCCCCCCCAACCCCCACCAAAACTCCCCCCTCCCCCCGCCTCCCACACTCCCAAGCCAAGAAGCCCGGCTTGGGTAGGCAGCAACACCTCTGCGCCTGGAGCTGGGTGAGCCGGCGGCGGTGAACGAATCCCGGTGCCGAGCGCCCAAATCCGGGAACGGATGGGATGGGACGCCGGCAAGTGGCATTGGGCGTACCCTCCCACCAACTAACATGGGTTTGTGCACAGACCCCTGTAGAAAGACGACTTTCCTCTTGGAAAGGGGGTATGTGCACTTCCATGTTAGTTGGTGGAAAGGTATGGTTTTTGGAGGGTAGCCCCTTTGCTTGCTGGTGCGTGCCATAGGCAGGGAAGGAGGGAATGAACCGTTTTGGGATTTGTAGGTTTGTTGGGGATGGTTTGTAGGGGTCATTCCCTCATTGAGCACCGGCAAGTTTTTGGTGGTTGAAAAGGGATGACTGCATCGCCAAACAAGTGCCCTTGAGCGCTGATCACACCGAACTGCGACTGCAGCAGCACCTTGACCAGCGCCCGCAAAACAGCACCCTGACCAGCGTCCACCACAGCACCCTGCCGTCTCAAAACAAGCAGGTGGTGGTTTGGTTGGCAGCTCGAGCGCAAACAGCAACCTGACCAGTAGCTGCAGTGCCAACCTGGCCCGAACTTGCAAAAGAGCCCCCTCTCTTTAGAAAGAACCCCTTGCTTTCCGAAAAGACACTCCCAAATTGGAACCAAAAAGGAAAACCTCAGGAGAAATCCAATAGAGTCACAATCAAAACCCGGGTAGATGAAGGTTAGTAAGGGACGATCCCAACCATAAATTGCCGCGGAATTCCGCCTTCTCAATTCTTGAAGCATGGTTCTGGGTGAGCCATTTTACCGGGTTTTGAGCAAGTGACTCAGAAGCCAACCGAGCAACCAAAGGAGCCGGAATGGAGCGTGGCGCTCCACGCAGACAAATCCCGGGGAAGCGAAGCCGAGGGGAGGGTTTGGTATATGACTGAGCCAAGTTGCTTGGGAAAATCCCCCAAAACGGTTTGGTTACATCAACATGTTTTGAGTTGTTTTTTCCCCGTTCTTTTTTTTCTTCTTTCCTTTCGGTGTTGCTCCAGAAATGGAAAGCTGAATGGTATGGCATGTGGCTGTGGCTCAAAGAACCGGAATTCCAACATGGCTTGCCCTGGTAAGTGGAAACATGGACCAAAGCCTGCGCTTTGCCCCTCCTGTTTAATTTTGAGCCAGGGAGCAAAGACAAAAGCCTGCGGTTTTCATTGAATTTGGAGCTGCGCCCACCGGTGACAAGGATGAAGCGCTGGCTCACACCAAGGCCTAGAGGTGACCCTTCCAGAACTGGAGACTGGGGAGGCGTGGGCTTGCTTGACCCGGCGTTCACCGGGTGGAGTCCTTTTAGCTTCCCCAACCAACCCCTCAAATATTTCCCCCTCAGAGAAAGACAGACCCCATTTTCGTTTCCCTTTCTCCGTCGCCGAATTTTGAGACCCCGACTGAAAATTGGGTGGTTTTCCTATGGTGGAAAATTCCGCCCTTCCGCAACCAACGCCAGACTACGGGTAAGTTTTGTCAGTGACTCTGGCGATTCATGTCGATGACTCAATCTGGTGGATCTCCTTTGGGACACTCATTTAGTATCCAGGGGCTCATTCATTGTGGGTTCCCACTAGCCAACTGAACGCCCAAAATTCGCTTGGCCATTTTAGCAGGTGGTACATCTCGGCTCACAAAGGTTGCGGCAAGGCCTATCGAAAAACCGTTGCGCCGTTTTCCACAGCCTGCTTGGACTTGCGCCTCGCCAAGGAGCTGCGAGAGTCTTCTTTTTTTGGTTTCCGCGCACCGCGCTCTTATTGGAGCGCACTTATTCGGAGCCCGTCGCGGCCTCTCGACCCATGTCCAAGTGCAACGACAAAGTCGTGTTAATGTGCGACCGGTTGAGGGTGCTTCATGCACTTGCCCGGTGGAATTTGCGTGGACTCCGCTCTGTCTGCGCAAGTCTTCTCTTCGCACATTTGCTCACTTCTCTTAGCAAGGAAGCCGTGAAGGTGATCGGAGCATTTGTCAATTTATGTTTTGTGCAATTTGATTTGTACAATGTGATTCATCTCTGCTCCGGTTCCGCGCATGTTTCTTCCAAAAGCCATTTGTGCGTTTGGCTGAAAACCCTTCGAGGTCATTGCAAATGGCAAAATAACACAGACCCGAATCCCTGACCCCCAACACCAAGCTTTTGATTTGAGCGCATATCTGTTGGCTGGGTCAAATGGAGTTGCGTGTCCAGAAAGTCTGTTCCGGCTCGCTGGTGAGTATTCGTGGAGTTCAGGGTGCGAGCAGCGCAGTCAGGATGGGACAGACTGCTCAAGATTGAGTCCCAAGCCCTCAGAATCCGCATCGACTTCTAGGTGACTCAGCTGGGTGCCCTTCTCACCCCTTTTTGGGGGAGGGTTCCCCTAGTAGAATAGACTACAGAAAGATATCGGGTACCAGCTTATTCTAAGCCTCTCTACTGAAAGACCTAGTCTCTGTTTCGTCAGGAATACGTGCTGGGCCTCCGCCCGGGCGCCAGGCCGGGCTTCAGCACTTCCGCTTTCCGCTGCGACCCCCGAGGCTTTTTTGCGCGACGCGCAGGTACCATCCCTTCGCCGGTCCGTTTAGAGGCGCGAGCGAGCTGGTGGGGGCGGTGCGCGGCACACGGGACGCGGAGAAATGAAGTTGACTAGAAAATGTGCAGTGAGCTCTGGAAACACCATGAGCAGACATTATGGGAAGGATAGTACAGGACGTGTCTGGAGCAGCTTGCATCTCACTTCTTGTTTTTCCGCAAGACCAAGCCAACTTGTGGCACAGAGCACGCCGTGGCAGGTAAGTCGAAGATCCGGCTGACGGGCCTCCGGCCCTTTCGATTTAATTTCTTAAAGCCAGGCCCTCAGTGCCAAGGGCAGGCGGCCTTCTGTTCTTTTGGAACAGAACAACGCAGGCGTTTTTTATTCTTTTTCTTTTCTCTGAGATGGGTTCTCGTTGCAAATGCTTGTTTTGCGAGTCCTTGCAAAGGGATACGGTTGGGTACGACATCTATTTCGCACGAAAGGAGACCGTTGGTTTTTCAGCATTTCTTGGTATTTACAGGCAGGGGAATCGAAGCAGTTTCTATTTTCATGGGTTTCTGAATGTAGGTGGGTGCCTATTGTTTGGCATTTTTTGTGGGTGCCCAATGTTGAAGGTGGGTGCCTATTGTTTGTTGTATTATTGTTTTTTCTACGGGCAGGGACATTATCAGAAGTTTCAGGGTTTGTGAAGGGTGCCTGCGCAGAATTTGATATGAGGATTTCGCCAGCGAAAGGGATCCGATCGAGATCCGGCGCCCAGGCGTCGTTACGGAAAGGTCTGGACCTTAGGGCCATGGTGCGGAGGTCTCAGTCCGTTTCTGGTGGCTCAGCCGGCTAGGGCGCTAGTCCTTGGGCTGACAAGAAAGAAAGAAAGAAAGAAGGAAGGAAGGAAGGAAAGACAGGCAGAGAAAGAAAGAGCGAGAGAGAGAGAGAGAGAGAGAAAGAGAAAGAGAGAGAGAAAGAGAAAGAGAAAGAGAAGAGAGAGAGAGAGAGGAAAAGAAATGGAGAGAGCGTCCTTGCGTGCCAGACTCGAATTGATTGATGCCACAGACAGCGGTCTGCCAGTTTTCTTGCACATTTGCGCCGACCCTCAGCACCTACTCAGATTCTACACACCCCCACATGCAGACATGCACCCCGCTTGGAAGACTGAACATGCAAATTCTTTTGAGCTATTTTCGTTGGATGGTATCCCCCTCGTGTGTGCATATTTGTCGCATGTGAGCAAGGCAGATAATCGCGCAGAAACACGGCTCGCTGGAAGGCTGTCGGCTGCATGTTTTCGATTGAGACTGGCGCATACGAGTCCGCACTCGAGGAGTTTTTCAAGATCTACTTGCGCCATGGCTTGCAGGCTCGATCCAGATGCTAAAAGCGGGCAAGAGATCCACCAGATCTGGCCGAGTTCGAGCATTCCAAGAGCGCACCGGGTACTTGAGGTACTTGTTCGAGTATTCAGAAAACCACCCCGAAATTCAATGGGGATAACGGCAAACCTTGAAGTCCTCATAGCCACTCTTGTAGATGTCGAAGGTTTGGTTTTGGCGCTCATGTCAAGTTGGCATTTCCTGTCTGGGTTCTGTAGATATGGAGGCTGGGTTTTCTCCAATGCACTGCCCAAGCAGATGCATGGACAGTTGTGTTCGCCAGACCTTGCGGACCGTCTGCTTAATAGCCCAATGCTAATCTTACAAACTAATTTTGTAAGGGCTTCGCTTTTCAGTGGTGGTACGCCTTTCCAGTGGAAGCCTCTCAAGAACCCCTGATTAGGGGCCACTACCTGGCTGTGGGTCAAAAATCGGTATTTGGGTCCAAATGCTGGTTGTTTCATTTTGGTCAAGGGCACAACCCCAAAAAGGCCGTCCCAAAGCAACGAGATCGAATGCATTGGCCCATGACTTGACCCGACTCGCAGGGGGCGAACCGAAGTCTCGATCACCTGCAGCACGCCTTCAGCGTCACGAGCATTGCCGACGGACAGGCCCGGGACGCGGAATATCGCCTCAAAAGTGAAGGTTTTTTTTTCTTCTTTTTTCTCCGGGTTGCCTGGAACTGCTTATGAGTCTTGGGTTCAGAAGCGATTGGCGTTTTGCTCTCTTTTCGGGTTGCTTGGAGCTGCTTATGAGCGGTTTTGTTGCCTGGAACTGCAGGTGAGCTGACAAAAGCTGGGCTGAGGTGAGGACAAGGAGTTTGTCCATCCAAGCTTCTGAGATTTGAACCAGGGGTTGAGACCTAGACAAAACAGCGCAACTTTGTCTTGACTGCTATTGGGTTTGGATCTTCAGACTTTACTTTCTGACGAGAAACCCCTAAGCTTTTTGAAGGGGGGTCAACAGCAACCAAGTTGTCCAGGGACTTTTTTTGTCCAGCCATTGTTTTTTTCCCCGCGAAGCGGTCGGACCTTCACCCGGCTTCTTGGGGTTTAGTGGCGTGTTGCGGAAATCCAATGCCGAGCCTGGTCGAGGAAAAAGAAAGGGGCCAACGCCTTGGATCTCGTTGTTTTGGGGTCGTTTTTTTGGGGGGGTTCTGGCCTTGACAGCATGATGTCTAGATGAAGTTCATGCAACTGTTGGAGCAAGAGGTCAATACGTTCTTCGAAATAGGGAACCCCAAAAGTGGTGGGTCAAAATGACACCAGGAATTGGACCGCATCTTTTAGTCCATGTTTACATTTACCAGGGTTCCATTTTGGATACCTATTTTTGACCCGGTTTCCTGGTCTCTAAATCGATCCTTTGGTGTCCAATCGCTCTGGTGCCGCTCGTGGGTTTCTGAGAAAGCGTCCAAACCAGACAGGGCAGCTCTCGTCAGGTGCCATGTCCTTCGCTTTCTTTTTGCGCCTTTTCTACCCCTCTTGCTGTGAGAACGGGGTATGCACTAGAGCTCGGAGACTTTTAAGCATGGCAAGTGCGTTATAGCCAGGCTTACTAGCCACTTACGCCCTGCACCTTCAGGTACCCCACTTGGCGGTAAGACTGGGGTCATAGGCGTCCTTTCTGGTGGTTTTGCTCGAAAATGAATGGAGGGCGATTCCTGGTTTAGATGGTGGTTTTTGCTCATCTACCAGGTTTCCACCCATCTATTTCCCCTAACAGGACACCTATGCCAGGGAGGCGTTCCATATCCCCGGATATCCCCTAAAAGGAAACACCTAACGGGGCATGCGCTAGAACTGGGATCAGCCGAAAAACTCGAATCCAGGCCTCGGACCTGGGACTATCAAAGAAGTCAGAAGCACAGTCCATGCGCGGACCGAGCGCCAGTTCAGCAGTTGGGGATTGGTGGTTTAATCAAGTGGGTCTTTTTTTTCAGCTACTGGGTGACCTTTCAAAAGGTCAACCAAGTCATTTTTGTTTAATGAACATTTTTTACCCCCCGACATGTTATCGGCTTCTCCTTTTGGTTTCCCTTTAAACACACACACACACACACACTGGGCCTAAAAAACAGGCCCCCCCCAAAAAAGAAAGAAAGAAAAGACAACGAGCCCGCAGGAGGCACCAAGCCAAAACGCGGGGCACGCCCCAAAAGCAGGGGCCTCATGGCAGGGCCCAAAAACAGGCCCCCCCCTAGAAAAAGAAAGAATTCAACAGCCCCAAGGACGGTACCAAAGACGCGAGGCACGCCCAAAAGAAACACGCGCCGTGGCAGGTGCTGGAGCACCAGCTCAGCTTGCCTCACAAGGCCACGCTGAAGCTGAAGGCCGGTTTTATGCCATCCGGTTCCTCAGCTTGTGGCGTTTTGGTGGGTTTAGTGGTTGGGTTTTTCCATTTGGTCCACTAGCTAAACTTCTCTTTGGCGCGTTTTGCCCAAGGGATGGTAGGACTTTAACCTTTTGCCAACGAATGGGTTTCCGTATTAAACCACTGAAAGTTATTCACTTTTAGCAGGGGAGCAGAAAGCAACCGAGATCCGGTTCCTTAGCTTGTTGGCTTTCAGTTGGTTTTGTGGTCGGGTTTCCGAACTTCACCCACTAAAACCTAAACTTTTCGCCGGGGATCTGAGGAGCCCAGTTTCTTTTTAATGCACCGAAAGTCCCATCGAGCCCACCCAAAGTGGTACCTAGGAAGCAGAAGCAAGACACGTTTTTTTCTTGCAACTTGTCATGGACGCCCCAAAGGCAGGGGCTTCAGTCGAAATTTGATTCGCCTGCGTGGTCTCTTTGGCTGTTTGTATACCTCACCCTGCACCATTCGCATGCAATGAAGCCGGCCCAACCGGCTTGACCTAAGGCCACCCCTTTTGGCGATGTCCCACGTAGGGGTTTTACGAATCCACTGGGCGCGCATGTGGGGTTGATGAAAATTTCCTGGCCCCCAAGTGGCCATGGGTGACTTTTCCCATTCAGTGGGAGGAGAGCCTTTTGATCAACAAAACGTCATAGCTCAAGTTTTGCGAACAAAAAGTCCGTACCCAAGATCGCTAGACTCGCTGAGCACGAGGAACCCTCCAAGGTCCCGATATCAACGGGGATCTATTTTACTCCCCTGGCGCTTTGAATCTCTTGGTCTGAAATCCGATATGGCCTCAAAGGGCAATTTTGACACAGTTGGCGGTTTCTCACTTGAACCCCGCGAAAAACTCAGGCCCCTAAAAGGATACCAAATCTCCCACTAACATGGCACCACCTCACAGGGGTTAGCTTCCAAGAGGAAGCTAATCTTCCAGGTGCTCTTTGACAGGTGCCATGTTCGTGGGAAGGGTCGCCTCAAAAACAAAGGCCCCACAAAGGGGTAGCCTCAACAGACGGGAAGCCCTAAACCAGGCCCAAAAAACGGCACCCTCAAAAGACGAGCCGAGCGCCCCCCGAAGCCAAGGCCCCCAAAAAGTGAAAGGTTGATATGTCCTGTATATATAATGTGTTGTTTATTTCTGTTTTTTATAAGCAACCAGACATCAAAGAACAAGCAAAGGGGCCCCCACTTGCCGTCAGCACCACATATGAGAGGGACTTGAAGCAAAAGCTCAGAGGAAAGGCAGCAGAGATGAAGTGATTCTGCTTCAAAAAGGAAACACACATGAAGGGGGGCCAAATGATTGAAAACAAATAGGAGGGTCAACGGAAATGGAGGAGGCCCACATGATTGAAAACAAATAGGGAGAGGCAACGGAAATGAAGGGAGCCCAAATGATTGTAGAAGGTTGTTTCGCGTTTCATTTTTTCAGCCTGCCTCTTTTCAGCGCCCGGGGCAGAGGCTGCGGCCAGATTTACAACCTGCCCGTTCAACTGCACAGGCAGGTTCATTTATAAAAGGAATCAGAAGGCAGGTTGATATGACAGTTCGCTGCAAGGCAGTCTGATATCAGAGTTGATTAGATGATATGAAAACGCGAAAGAAGCAGGACCGAGATCCTACCCCAAGGTGTTGGGTGGACAATGGCAGTGCTGAATAAAAAGAGATAGGGGCCCTTGGCAAAAGCGCCCTGTTTCTTCTGCTTGCAAGTTCGTTCAGTAGTCGAGGGATCTTGGTTTTGTGCCGGCATTGCCATGTCTGCTCAACTCCTTGGGGAGTAGGAGGTGTTGAGGCAGTTATAACCAACAGCTTCTGTTTGGGCTTGGGAAACGCCATTGCTTGATGGCCTCCTGGTATTTTCTGTCACCGTGTACTCTTGGGAACCGCCATTCCTTCCCTCCTGCTATAAATGTCACCGTGTAGGGTCAGCCGGACTTGAACAGGCTTGGGAAACGCCATTGATGAAATGTGACCGTGTATGACTCGTGAACGAGCTTGGGAAAGTTATTGCCATCTGAAGCTTTTTCGCATCAACCAGCACACCATCAGCTCCATGCTCTCACCTTCTGCAATGGCTGCCCTCCTCATCTCACGCGCAAAGGAGGCAATCAAGGCTTTGCAGGCTTTGGGGATCTAGCCATGTCCGATGACCCGACCCCGGACTATGTGCTTTGCCTTTCGTTCAGCCTTCCTCTAGCCATGTCCAATTATTCAGCCTTCCTCTAGCCATGTCCAATTACTCTGTTCTGGATAACCTTGATGACAAATTGTTCCAGGAAATTGCCCATTTGGTTAGCCACGTCAAGCAGATCCAGCCTGATGACCATGTTTCCAACCCATGAAGCGGTGGAGTACTTGAAGGCTCACCACGCCCGCATCGGGTCCCAAAGCGGGCTGATCATCAGCAAGGCTGAAGCCTTGAGAGCGCAACTGCTGGCAACTAACACGGACAGCTTTTTCGCTTCCCTGGGATTGGCTCGCGTTCCTGAGCCGGGAGACAATCAGTGCCTGTTTCATGCCCTGGCTCGATTCGAAGGCCTTTCGGGTAATCCAAATCAACCTTGTCCCAATTTTCTTGGTTTTCAACCTGCCTCTGAACGGCTCCCTGTCCTTCTCGAAGCCCCCTTTCAAGGCTCAGAAGCCAGCGCAACGGGCGCGAAACTGCTTGACCACATTGCTTGCAATGCCGACACGTACTGGCACGAGGTGGAGCTCTTGTCTCCGGGCCACATTCCCGACTACGTGGAAGGCATGGCCTCCCGCAACGCTTGGGGTGTTGAGATGCAGGCCTGCGCAGTGTTCCAGCGCTCCCTGCTTGTGTATGGCATGAATAGGCACACAGGGTTGTACCAGTTTGAGACCTCCTACAACCCTGTGGTTGGAGAGGCCTGGAAAAATCACACTGGCATATGTGGGGGCCAACCAATATGATGATGCGATATGGCCTGCTCAGAGGACCGGTGGTCTGCGGGTCATGTCATGTCAACCATCAACCTTCCCCCGCCCTCGTTTTAGGATGTGCCCGACGTGAAGCCCGCTCCCATCAAGAACCCAAAGCCAGCTTCCAGCAAGAGCTTGAAGCCAGACGAAGCCAGACCCCAGCAAGGGCTCGAAGAGGAAGATGGGATACGACTTGTCTGGCCGCACCGCCTTCAAAAAAGGGGAGGCCCCCAAGAACAAGCGGTCCCCGCCAAATGAACCGAGCTGACGCTCCTAAGATTTGCAACGATGCAACTCTGGATCACTTCCTCAGCCGCAGTGCCACAGTCCAGACGAAGTTTTACCGGGCCGAGTCGCAGGCACGACTGTGCAAAGAGATGTGGGCCCTGGCCAAGCCGCCCGGGGCTCGCAAGAAACGAGAGCCCGCAGTGGATGTGGACTAAGGTGGGTTCCTTTGTTTGGATCTTTATTCTGACCATTATGAACCTGCTTCCAAGTTCAATCCTCATCCTTTTCAGTCTGCTCATTGTGTTGTTTGATTGTGTTTTCTGGCGAGGATCATTATGAGCCTGCCAACACTTGATTTATAGAAATGGTAGTACTTGAATATATATATATATATGTGCGTGTGTTGGCCCCCCTCATTTCTGTTTCCTATTTGCTTTCAATCATCTGGGCTCCCTTCATTACCGTTGCCTCTCCCGTTTGTTTTCAATCATTTGGCCCCCCTTCATGTGTGTTTCCTTTTCTGTTTGTTTCATTGAAGCAGAATCACTTCATCTCTGCTGCCTTTCATCTGAGCTTTTGCTTCAAGTTTCTCTCATATGTGGTGCTGACGGCAAGTGGGGCCCCTTTGTTTTTTTCTTTGATGTCTGGTTGCTTATAAAACAAAAATAAGCAATACATTACATATACAGGACATATCAACCTTTTACTTTTTGAGGGCTCCCATTTAACATCATCCTTACTTCCCATGTGGTGGAGGCAGTACACGGGGAAAAACAGGGCCTCAAAAGACGAAAAGCCCTAAACCAGGCCCCAAAACGGTACCCTCAAAAGACGAGCCGAGCGCCCCCGAAACCAAGGCCCCCAAAAAGGGGTAGCCTCAAAAGACGAGCAAAAACCAGATGGCGCTTGAAGCAAAGCATTCAGGTACATGATCTGGAGCCAGAGCAGCAGCTGCGGCCTCAAGTTTTGGCTGCGGCTCAACCTGTTTGTTCTTTTTTTGAGACCGGGTGTTGGTTGGTGGGGACGTGATGTTAACATGAGAAATGCTACAAAACACCGTGTTTTACGGTGTTTTCTTTTGTTGTTGGGGCAAACCCAGGGGTAATGTTGAAGCAGGATTTTCATAAACCGTGTTCCCTGCAAAAGTGGTCTGAATCCAACCACTAAAAGGGGACACCCCCTTTTTTAATCCGGGGTTAACAGTACTCTGAGATGTCTCATTGTAGAAATGCCTGTAAGACGAATTGTCTTTTGGGAGGGGGTATGACCGCAAGGGTACTTCAGACTCTTTGAATGCATGGTTCTGGCTTGCAGGATTCCCATTTCTCGATGACAGAGTGGTTGCTTAACCTCTCGTTTTTCACAACGTTGCCTCATCACCTTTTGGTTGAACGAGTTTCAAGTGGCGTGTCCTGGGATGATGTTTCCAGCGGGATATGGATTCACCCTGACCAAAGGCCTGGGTTTAAGTCAGCCGAAAAGCCGTTTCGGTTCCCGAGGTACTTGATCCGGGTATCTCCAACGAGCCCTGCCGGGTGCTGAGTGGCAAGTGCCACGTGAGTGGCGTTTTGGTTTCCTTTTGGTTATGCGGCTGACCGGATCTTTGGACTGGCTGACCTTGTGGTTGAAACAGGAACCGGATTTTTTCTTAAGTGGACCCAGACAAAGTGAAAATTTGTGGAGTGGAACAGCAACCACTTAGTGTTCACTCGGGCCAGGGGATGCGTCACGATCACATTCGTCACGATCCTTTGTGAAGGTTCCAAGTAAATATGTCCTAGCTTAAGATCTCTCTCTCTCTCTCTCTCTCTCTCTCTCTATCTTTTTTGTTTTGTTTTTGTTTTTGGTTTCTGCTCATTCTCAGGTCTCTAGAAACAAAGCAACGCTGTTTTTTTTGCTCATTTTCGCAGCAAAGTCTCTGGTTTGGCTTGGTGGTTTGGCTTCTGCTTTGAAGCCCTGGTTCGTGTAGAGGGCCACATGGGAACCGTCCCTAAGCACCAGACCACCAGGCTCCACACCAGGCTCCAAAGCACCAAACCACGACGTAACGAGGAAAAGTATCTTTCTCTTTTGGTGGTTTGGTTTGGTGGTTTGGATGTTAAGGGGGTACCTTCAAACAAACAATGGCTTCAAAAGGAAGTGCACCAACCAAGCCATGCCAAGGATCCTTCTCAGCTCATTTTTGCCTCATGCCCAGGTTTTCGACGGCACCGGGCTGCCGCTGGAGGTGCGCCCTTCGCACAATGTCAGCACGCCTCGCTGGTTGTATTTTGTGTTTCGGGCCGCAAACATGGGTGTCCTTTTCCAGGCGGGTTTTTCTCAAATCTATTTCCCTTGCTCAGGACACCTATGAGCCCAATTGGTAAGCTGACCCCCAATTCATCAACCTGTCCTTTGGTTGGTCAGCGGTGAAGCCCCAGTAAAAAGGGGGGGATGTGGGACCCGTTCTGCTTGTCGCTCGTTGGACACCCCTTTGGGTGGGCAGTTCGTTGGACGCCCCAAAAAGACGCGCACGTCGCGGCAGGCATCGGAGGTGCGGCTGACCATGAGCACCCTTCCAGGCAGCTCGTGGGCAATGCTTCGTTGCTTTTTGTTCTTGCTTTTTGCGGAACTCTTTGGACAATGTCTTCGTTGAGCACCATCTTTGTTGGACTTTATATATAATCTTTTTTGGACATCTTCTGGATTTGTTTGAACGCTTTTTGGACATGGCAAGCCTGTTTGATGACTCTTCTTGAGTGCTGGGGCATTCCCGCTCGGCGGGTCGGTTTTCTTGGCTTCGAAGCAAGCCAAGGGAGCGAGCGAGCGCCTTGTGAGACAGACTCACATGCCGGGGACAATGTTGGAGAGACCGAGCATTCGGAGTTTTTTTTCACAAAAAAAACAGGTCACCTTCAATTGGCTGTGGCTCAAAAAACCGGAATTCCAAAATGGCTTGCCCTGGTAAGTGGAAATATGGACCAACACCTGCGGTTTGCCCCCCTTCTGTTTAATTTTGAGCCACACCGAATCGGTAAAACATAGCGAAGCAGGTAGCCCTCGCGTGGCTTTGGTGCGGGACACTCAGAAACCTCCAATTCAGGCTCCAAACTAGGAGGCCCGTGTTTTTTTTCTCCCCCGACTCTATGGCACACTTTTGCTCCAAGAGGGGGTGCCATGGTCCAACGGTGGTGGCAAGGGAAATAGGAGAAACCACATATGTTCTCATAGGGTCAAAGTTCTTTGGCCCTAAGATGAGGGTTCTCTGTCCACTCAGCGTGTTAAAGTAGTTGTGCTCTGAACATGGGCGGGTTACCGTTCCCCCTTGTTTTCCGTTCAAGACCAAGCTCAAAGCCGATACCGAGCCCTCGCCTCAAACGAATGGCATCGGTTTCCCCCTGTCCCCAATCCGCAAACCTGGCCTCCGCTTCACCCCTCCGGCCCTGCATGAGTGTTCCAGCCACCTAATACTGTGGGTGGACGAAATCCTGCACCACTTTGAAACCATGGGAAACCATTGCTTGTCGGAATTTACAGGGGGAATCATCATTCTAGGATTTCTTGGGTGGTGCAGGATTTCGTGCATCCACAGTAGGTTACAACTGTTGCAACCGTGGTTCCTGGGCTAACTAGGGTGATCGTCGCCTTATATCCACGACTAGAACCGACTCAACTCGCGTTGAAGATCGCAAAGTGGGTCTGATTTTTTTTTGAGTTGGCTTACCCTTTTGTCTGACTCTTACCACCGGGAAATCCCACCACCCACCCCCACCCCACACCACCCTCACATTTCCGGCGCCCTGTTTGGAGCCCCCCCCCCACACCTCCCCCACCTCCCCCCTACCAGCCCCCCCAACCCCCCTGCCAGCCCCACCAACCCCCCCCCCCACCCACACCCTGCTTGGACCTTCCTCCGAGCCTTGAGCATCGAGCCTCGAGCGGCCTCGAGCGGCCACCTCGAGGCGTGTTCCTGGCCCCGCAGCCGCCCAACCCGAGCCTCTGGGCCGCCAGCTGCGCGGACCGCTTCCTGCCCAGCGACTTGCCGGCCGCTGGGCCGCAGGCTCCTGCCCGCCGAAGGGCCGAAGGGCCCTTCGGTTTGGTGGCCGTGGTCCCCTTTCCTTTTCCCCGCTTTTTTTTGTTGACATGATTTTTTTGTTGACATTTTTTTTTCTGACCACCTTTCTGGTTTTTGACCATGTTGGTTTGAATTTTGACAAGGAGATCCAGCAAGGAAATCCAACATGCCTGTTGTTTGGACCATTTTTTTGTTTTACAACATATTTATATGCCTTTTTGTTTGACCACGTTTTCATTTGTTTTTCGACAAGGAGATCCACATTGTTCGGGAGAATTCCGTTTTGGTGTTTTATTTTGTTTGTGACCATGTTGGTTTGGGTATTTAGGGACATCCCCATTTGTTTTGGGGGCAAATATCGGGTTTTGCCTTGCTTGTTCGAAAGTCAACTTGAGACTGTTAGCATTTTGGCACTTAAGACTAGTTATTTGGATGTGTTTTTTTTAAGGCCCATGTTGGTTTTAAGGGAAACCACATTTGAACACTTACCAACGACTTGCCGTTTTGAATTTTGAGACTTGTAGAGGCGAGCGCCACTTTTCTTGGGGGACAAATGTCATTTTGGGGGCCGCCCCGTTTTGACATATCAATGGACAGAATCCGCACCGATCGGCACTAGTTGGGATGTATGCGCTATGACCACTGGTTGATAAACCACCTTGTTTCAGAATTTCAGGGACCTCATAAGTGGTTGGTGGACATGAATCCAATTCCTCCCAAATTATGTGAACCAAAAAGCATACCGACTTGCCGCCCGGAAAATCCAATTATTTCTGTGCTTCTTTGTTGCTGGCTCGGCCGCTCTTGTTCTAGCTGATTCTTCTGCAACAAACATGCCACATGAGCAACAGTCAATATTTACTCTCATCTACTGTGGCAAAGAGGATGACGCATTCTCTTTCTGACACCGTCTGCCAAAACCGCTTGCCCAAATCGCTTGCGGTTTGGTGTATTTTCGCAAGCAATGAAGCTGAAAGGGTGTTCGTTCCTAGAGGACACAGGTCTTCCACAAAGTCCTCTGGTTCCATGTTGGGTATCTGAGAGCCCCAGTTTTTGCGGTTTTGCCCAGAATCAACAAACAAAAAAACGCACACCCGGTTCGGTTGGGTTCGCGGGCACGGTGTCATTTGGTGCGGGTTGAGGTGTGGACTCCTTGAGGTGCCGGGTTTGGATACTCTGACGCGTGCGGTCAAATGTTTCTATGGGTCAACTGTTTCTGCGCCACCAGGAATTGGAGCCACACCCCTTTGACGTCGAGAAAGTTGGGGGCCTATTTTTTGATGACTCATAGCCAAATGTTTCTATGGCCCATGGTGCATGTTGGGACGGGACATGATTTTGGGACTCACTCAACCTACGCTTTTGCCTGGTATCACACCCGCTCAGCATGCGGGAGGCCCCGGGCTCAATCCCCGGACTGTCCATGCTCATTTTCACTTTCTTCCTGCTGTCTCTGCGTGCTCTGCGTGGAGGGCTCTCACACTGACTTTGCCACACTGGCTCTCACACACTCAACTAACACTCACTGCCTTTATCACTTGTACCAGCAACAGAGACTTTGACCTTGGCGAAATCGACATGTCGTGCGGTGAGGCCACGTTTCCGATCCTCCAGCGGCGGCCTCCTCCGATGATGCTCGGCGGCTCGAAGCAAGTTCAGATTCGCCGGGCGAGTTTTTTGAGACCGCTCGGTGCTTCGCTGCCGTCCCCTTGGGCTTTGAGGTTTTTAGTTGGTGTCGTAGGGGTTTCTTTTTTTTTTAACCCGCCAAAAGAGCAACTTTTGGGCAAGGGAGCTGAGGAGAGCCCGGTTCAGAGATGGGCTTGTTTCCAACTGAGCAGTGCCCAAAACCCCACAAGAGCCATTGTAGATGGTTCTATCGCTTATGCGTTTTATAGCGAAGCCCATATGACCCTTACAACCATTCAAAAGGAAACCAAAAGGAAAAGCGCAATCCATTCTGGGGGTTCAAATCCTCTTGGACATCACCGTGGTCATTTCGTTCGGGGCCGTGGGTTCAGGCCCCCACTAGATCCACGTGCGGCCCTGGACCACATTGCTTGTCCCCACACCTGAGACAGTCGGGTGGTACTTCTGGTTTTTGCGGGGAATTTGGGCATGAGTTTCATTCAGGGACCGACATTTGGGTTTTATGTCCACCAATCACTTTCCAGGAGGTTCCTTATGGAAATTCATGGCGACATATTCTGCATATGTAGTTACATGTGGCTTCAAACATGAGCAGGTCGGAACGTTGATCCAGACGCGGCATTGCAGGCGGGACTGATGAGTTGCCATTTGAGCCACAACCGAGACCCGGGTAAGCAAGCTAGTAGGGAACAGTCCCCACCAGGAAGGTGGTCTGGGTAAACTCCTCTAGTACCAGGTTTTGATTACGACTCATTTTCTGATCATATGTTTAGAGACGCTGGTTGCAACCTTGCCATGGTCTGCATATTGAAATCGCTACGCGATCCGCCGACGCCATCTGTGGTGCGACGACTGCCGCCACTAACTGCCTATCCCTCACATATGCTGAGAATGCGGAGGATGCAGCCAGACTGCATACCAGGCCGGACAGAATGTCCAAGCTTCGGACGCAACAAATTGACCAAGTATTGGGGATGGCGGGGGTGCGAGGAATGCTGGGAATGCAGGGAGTGCTGGGATGCAGCGTGCAAAAAACCAGCGTTTCTTACGATTTCCCCAAAGTCAACCATCGAAAAAGGATGACAGCAACCCCCTCCAAATACCCGACATATAGACTTCAACAAGCACAATAATGCTGGAGATGTCGCGACAACTCTATAGTGATGGGGGAATTCGACAAGAAAACACATCTTTTATTTTAGCAGCTGCTTAGATCATTATTACACTTGCCCCTGCCAACACCACAAATATGCCAAATCCAACATCGCTCAAAACAGAACAACACGATTGATATCAGCAAAAAGAACAAACAGACCACATGCCGCCAAGATGGCTTGGCCTGAGAATGCTGGGAATGCAGTGCAGATTCTTGCCACCGTAACCCCCCCCCCCCCGGAACCTAGGCAAAGCGAACGTTTTTGGGCGTTCGAAGACCGAAAGCCTTCGGCTTCAAAAAAACAATTCCGAAGGAAGAGCAAGTTTCGGATTGGGCCATATGCTCCACTGGCGTCGGAGGATTTTGAGGTATCAAAGTGGGGGATTTGTTCCTTCCCAATGCGAGACAGTGCTCATTTGCCCACGCAGTGCGGCAGGCAGTTGAACGCTGAGGTGAGACCCTATTAAAGCTTTCTGGCCAGCCCAGGACGCCAAAAGCGAAGAGTTCAACTTTTTTTGAGAGCACTTTGGCAGCTGCCACCCTCTACGAACAGCGCCCACAACTTGCATTGGCCATTTATTTGATGCTTCTACTGGCTTGGTAGGAAGTATTGTAAGGCCTGTACAGACGTACAACATGAATCTCAGAAGAACAAACAGTCGATGGGTTTCGGGGATGGCTACGCCATGTATATAGATGAGCCACAGCGAAACAAATTTTTCCCCACGACTCCAGTTCCCGAGTTGTTTCGCAGTTCGGCGGAAGCCTCCTTCCACGTTTTATTTAATTCAATACCTGACGCCCGCCAAATTCCCAAAAAAGGACAGTTAGGGGAACCAACCGCAAACCAACAGTTACACTTTGCTGTTGCGATAGGGAATGACGGAGACTGGGTTTTGGGAATGAACCTAGGGATTCCCTTAAAGGAAAAATAGGGGATGGGGTCATTCTATCTCGTTCCATGCCTATCGAACCAACAAGATCACGAGGGCTCGAATTTCAAGAAGCTGTGGCGCCTATGAGGGTTGCGCGAGGACCAAGGAACCTGTCTGAACAGGCTGCCATCCCCGAAAGATCGCACCGCAGGGGTCTGAGTCTTTTTTGGGAGTCTCAGTACTTCGTATTTTTTGTGGGTTCGGGGACACCGCCGACAAATGGCTTCGGGTTTCCTTTCGGTGTCCCATGAGAAAACCATCACCAAAGAATACCCCGAGAAAAGACACACAGCCAAAGGATCGTTCAAAGCGACACACGCAGAATTTCGGTTTCCCAAGAGAAAACCTACCAAAGCAAAGGATCCTTCAAAACGACGACGCCCCACTCCTCCCGACTCGCCGCGCCCAGCCAGCGCGAGCGCCGCCCATAGCACACGCCCCAAGCGAGCGCGCGCCGCGCATAGCCAGGCCTTCGTCTGTCCGATCACGTCCACCGAGGAGCTCGGGCAGCACTGGCCTATTACTCCAACCCAAGGTTGTGGGATCAAGGGGTTTATCCCCACTTCTGTGATACCCCTCTTTACATGGCGGAGTAGTCTTTGGGGACCTTTTTCTTGTATCACAGAAGTGGGCATTTACAGCCCTGCCAACCAGCTGAAAGCTACAGGGGGGTGGTCTTGTTTTTCAGGGTTTCTTCTTTTAAGCATCCCCTTTTTTGGTGCTCCAAGCTGGTGGTCGGTACCTTCTTTTTTTTGGTGGTGGAAGAAACCAACAGTTCAACCACCTTCCGGGGGGGGGGGGGCGTCTGGGCGTCTGGTCTCTGGCAGATAGGCTCCGGGGTGCTTCGAAACGGGCAGCTTTCAGGGAGGCTTCAACATGAGATTCGCTTCCAGGGCGTTTCCGGGGCCGGGGATGCAACATGGGCTTCCTTTTTCACTGGGACCGCGGGAAGAAGCGTAAATGCATGCAAATTGCCCTTGGTTTGTTTCTTGAGGCATCAGGGTTCTACCAGAGCTCAACTGGAGCTCCGAGATGTCCAAGTCGTTGACCCAGGGAATTCGCATGGAGCAACCGAAAGGCGATGTTCCAAATCCGGAAAGGCCTGTGAAGACTCAAGTTTTGGTCCTTTGGTCCACATTTCAATTTTGGTCGCCAAACGTGGGCGTAGCATCTGTGGTTTTGGCTTCCGAGCCACAAGAGACACCCTTATAGAAATGGGTATGGGTGAAAATAAAACCACCAGGGGACCGCAGGTTTTAGTCTTTGGTTCCATTTACCAGGGTTCCATTTTCGGTGCGCATTTTTGAGCCAAATCGGCAGCTGTGAAAATCCGCCCCTTTCCTTTTCCCGGATCAACTGAAGCAGACCCCCTCTGCCGATTCGATTGGGCCAAGATTCCTTCGAATTTCCTTCGGCTGGTCCGGATTCCTAAGCTGGATCGGCTTAGATCTTTAGGGTCAGAAAGAACCGTTGAGCCGAAAAGGAGGTTTCGTGGCGTTGAGTGGGGGGGGAAGCATCGTGTGTTTGAATTAATTAGAAAAGAGCCACAATCAAAACCTGGGTAGATGAAGGTTAGTAAGGGACAATCCCAACCCAAAATAGCTGCGGCCGCCTTCTTAATTCTTGAAGCATGGTTCTGGGTCAACCATTTTAATACCGGGTTTTGAGCAAGTGACTCAAAAAAGAGCCGCCCCAAACTGGTGGGGAAATGCTCCCCCCCAACGAAAACCACAGACAACCCAACTGGTTGGCCATGACTCTTTGATCAGGAATCCACCTCAGCGTGTGCTGGACATGAATCTCCAGCTGAATGATATGCACCCAAGGTTTTTTCTTCTTCTTTATATATATATATATTCACCCAGCTTCCAGCTTCAAGGAGCGTCCTTCCGCCCCCGTTGCTGCGGTTTTGAAGACGCCAGGGACTTCCTCAGCTTCTTCTTCTCGCCCGCCAAGGCGGCGGATTTTTGTTTTTCTCGGAGATCCAGGCGATCCATGGCCCCTGAAAAGATCACATGGAAAACGTGGCCCTTCTGGACCAGAGTCTTGGGTTTCTTTTACAGGGGGGGCCCTTCTATTGGACCTGAGTGGGCATAGGCCAACTCGTGCGTTGTTTCGGATGCGCTTGTCCCTTGTTTGAACAAACGATTTGTGGGTTCGCGGGGGTCACACACCTGGGCCATCAAGGGCCGTGAATCGCTTCTCGTAGGGCCAGAAGCTAAGGTAGCGGCAAACGCTCGTTACTTCCTGGCCACTTGCATCTTTGGTCCATTTGATTTTGAGGTCCCACCACTCCTGGTGGTAAACACAATTGGACAAACCCATACCCGCCCGTTGGCTCGGAAGCCCTACGGCTTCGTCTCTCCAAGCTCGCCGGACACCGATCTTGGGTCAAACTAGGCATCGGATTTTCAGGTTCTTGTCCTTGGCAAGCCATTTGCCAGGGCAAGCCATTTTCTTGACTGCTATTGGGTTGGATCTTTAGACTTTAACTTTTTGGGAAATAAAGGTGTTTTCCACTAAACCCACAAACAGTTACACTTTTTGCTGGGGGGTCAACACCAATCAAGTTTTGGGCGCCGAATTTTTGCCCCCCGGCCATTTGATTTCGAAGCTCTCCGCTTCGGGCCGCATCACCCCTCGGGTTGAAGCAGAAAACCCCTCGGGCCCATGTGACTCGGCCTGGGAGTCCTGCCAGTGGGAGGACCATGGACTCGTCGCAGGAGTTTTGTCAGCCACATGGGGTTAAGGTTAAGGATCCTCATCTTACCGCAACTTTTCAACTTTTTGGGTAGCATGGGCTATATATATGTCTGTAAAAGATTAACTTCCCCAGGGCTTGGAGTTTTAAGGGGTAAGTCATATGGGGTGACCCGTTGAATGGGTTGGTCTTTCGGATATTACACACATGAAAATGTTCGGTTCAAGCGATCGAATTGTTCGTTTGGGAAGGACACCCAAATCTTCTCCAGGAGGGGTTGAGACCACGATTTTGGGGAGACTTTTGTAAGGTTGTGCCGTGTTTTTGGTTTGGGCACACAGCTTTGTGTGGTTTGAACGGAAAGCTTAAAAAAACATCACCCCTTTTAGGTCCTTTCCAATCCCTTTGATCGCTTTTGTCCGGTAGGTGAATTATAATCATTTTTTTTTAAAAAAAATAAATAAATAATATGTTTGTTGGAAAGTGTTGATATTTTAGGAAACATAAACGAATAAAGGGCCTGTTTCCATGACAGGAGCCAATGGACGTGTTGACAGGCAGACGACTCCATCCCAGGGCCTTGTGCCAGACGCAGTGCAAAGGCAGGACTCGACACAAGCGCGGCCGGACTTTGGAAGCCATCCCAATTATAGGTGTCCTTTTCGGTTGTTTGGTCGAAACATCGATGGGTTTCCTTGGTTTTTCTTTGGTGGTTTAATCATCTACCAGGGAAGCCCATCTATTTCCCCTAAAAGGACACCTATGATCCCAATTGGTTGAAAGCTGACCCCGGATTCACAAACCTGCCCTTTTGTTGGGTGACAGTGGTGAATACACTGAAAGGGGGGATGTGGGGTTCTGCTTGTGGGTCACTCGTTGGAAACCGAAGCGTCTCTTTGTGGGGGAGAATTTTCTCAGGGGTTCCATGGTTTCTTGGGTTCCATAGTTAATTGGCAAAAGGGTAATGGTTTCGGTTTTTGAAGGTTTCCTTCTGGTTTCCATGGAAAACCGACCCAAAGGTCGGGAAATGGGTGCCTACAACAGAGAGGACGAGTCGCAATCAGTATAACGCGCTGAGGTCTTAGTCACGCACTTTCCAGGAACGCGCGTCTCGTGGCATTTGCACGGATGGGGACACCTGTGGCACAGAACCAACTCCAGCTCGAAACACCCCACGCCAAGCCTCACACCTCCCTCATGGTTCTTTGTTTGGAAGAAGCAAAACCTGATTGTCAAGGCGAGAGGGCAGTGAGTGGATTGCTGAACAGCAATTGAGTTGCACACGCCCACCCAGGATGGATAGATAGACAAGTAGATAGATACATGGAGAGAGAGAGAGAGAGAGAGAGAGAGAGAGGGAGGGAGGGAGGGAGGGAGGGAGGGAGGGAGGGAGGGAGGGAGGGAGGAGAGAGGGAGGTGGTAGATAGGTTTGTCGGTCAGTGGGAAGGTCGGTAGGTGAGGTGCCATAGACAACAAGTTAGGATTAGATTGGATCAGATAAGAATTGACTAGATCAGATTGTAGCGGGAAGTTGGAGGAGTTCAGATTAGATAGATAGACAGATTAGATTAGGTCAGATCGGACTCGACTGTTCGGTGGAAGGCAGGTAGGAAGGCAGGTAGGTAGACAACTGGATAGATAGGTGGACAGATGTACAGATGTGTAGACAGACAGGCAGATAGATGGATAGCTAGACGGGCACAAACAGATACACAGATGAACAAGTAAGGCCCCAAGACCCAAGTTGCCACAAAGCTCGTCAGGGTTGACCAAAGACCAAGTACGGGTCAATATTGGTAGCCTCAGTTGTTCAGTGGCACCCTTTTCCCCCCTTTTTTTTTGGTGGCTGCCCCACTAAAAATGGTCTTCTTCCCCAATAAGGGTTCCCTTTTTTTTCCACGGTCACTGAACAACTGAGTGGCCATGAGGGGCACGTAGGAACGCCCGGGGGAGACCTTGCAGCCCTTGGGCAGATTCGCTTGGCGGCTCGGCCGGCCCTCAAAAAGGATTTGGGGGTTGCTCTGAAATAGATGTTGCTCTCAATAGGGGTCCCCTCAAATGGTTGGTTCCTTTGGGTTGCACTTCAAATGCCAACCAAAAGGGTACTGTATTCCACCCTTTTCAAGCACTCCCCAAGTACGAAGCACTTTTTTTTGGGGGACCTCTTTTGTCTGGTGAATAGAAAGGACTGAAGAAGACCTCCCCCCCACCCTCAGCCCCCCACCCTCAGCCCGCCTCCCTCAGCCCGGCTGCATCCGTGCGCAGGCTTATCCCGGCGTCGTCCTTGGCTCCTCCAAACGGGAGGTGAGGTACAGCGAGGTGCCCCTCTCGTTCCAGGCATCCAGGCCAGAGGCTCGAAGTGGTCGGTATGGGAGGTGGGGGGGGGTTATCTCCTGGATTTTTGGGATCGACCTGTGACTCTCTTTTTTGTAGCAGGTAGTCGCTCGTTTTGGAACACCGCACAAAAATTGAAAATGCAATCAGCAATCATTTTCCAGCACCTAGTTTGTGCTTGAAGTGGTTGATACGGCGATTTCTACATGGCCGGGCCCGTGACGTGGATTCAAATTTCAAGGTGAGCCACAACAAGAAGCGCAGCACAGCAGCTTTGATGAAACGGTGCCTCTCTTTGGCCAAAAGAAGGCCCCTACGGTGGATGGACGAAAACCATTTCGCACCACCTAAGAAACCCTGGAATGATGATTCGCCTGCAAATACCAACAAACGTTACGGTTTCCCATGGCTTCAAAGTGGTGCGAAATGGATTTCGTCCATCCACAGTATGTTTGGCAATCCTTCCAAGTGAGTCTGTATATGAATCACAGCATAGAGTGAAGGGCATGACCAGAGGTGAGAACTTGAGACAGCGCCACAATCAAACCCGGGCAGATGAAGGTTAGTAGGGGGCAGTTAGGTGCGGCTGCCTCATGCGTAGACCATTTTAATACCAAGTTTTGCTTGTGACTCATGTCACAATGTGAGTCAGTGACAAATTCATTGCTAGACTACTGTTGGTTTGAGGAGGACCTCAGGGGAGTGGCCAAAGTTGCAAAAAGGTACAGAACCGAGCCCAAGATCTCTAATTTTGTCGGTTGCTCATGTTGGGGGGGGGGGACGGGGTGTGTCGAAATATGGACGGTTTCTTTTTGGACCCTGGTGTCGGTACGTGCCACCTTTTTAATGGCGATACCTCATTTTGACGAGCCCCACGTTGGAGGCTTTTGTTCATGGAGTACACCTGCGTGGGAGAGAAGGTGGGCGTGCATTGCCCCGTGGAGCGTTGCTTGGCTGGAGTGAGCAGTCGCGCAGAAGCGGGATTTTTTTTTCCTTTTTCCGTCGGCCCAATAGACCACTACCCTGAATGGATTGCTTTGGGGATGTGAACCTCGGGTTCTTGCTGAAGCTAAAAGAAAAGCTGTCCCCATAGCTTCCAAACCACAAATATTCAGGTTTTGGGTGAGATGGTGTGTCAAACAAAAAATGTGGGGTTAGACACATGCCGATGGTTGGTTTGGAGAGGAGGACAAGTTTCAAAACCAGCGGAGCTTGTTCCCAAGGGTGAACTGCAATCTAAACTCCGGTGATTGAAGACTTCCACACACTTTGGGATAGATATCTCTGATACCAGGTCTTCATTTGGGTGTGTCATTGGTTTTAAATGGGGAGCGCCCAAATTGGCATCCGTTTTACTTTTGGTTTCCCTGCCACAGACAAAGGGGTACCAAGTCCAAAATAACTCAGACCAGGGTTGTGGAATCAAGGGGTTTATTCCCACTTCTTTGATACAGGTTGGAATCTCCCCCCTGTATATGGGGTGTTAGTCTTTGGGGTTAGGCCCTTTTTGTTCACAGACTCGTGGATTCCATTTCCCACAACCCTGAGCGTTGTCACAGATATCCCTTTACGACTTGAGAGGTTTGGGCTTCCCTTGGGCAACCAAACATTTTTTTGGGTTTCCTGAAGCCTGAAATCCGGCTGGAACCTGGCAGCCTACCAACTCCAAAATAACTCAGACCCATGGCTCGATGCCTCGACCCATGGCTCAGAGTCTCCGCTCAGGTCCCTCGAACCGAGCGCGGTTCCTCAATGCGGCGTCCTTCCATGCGCTCACAGCGGGAGCCCCAGAAGGAGACAGAAGCGCCAAGGGTTGACTTGCTCCCCTACATAGTCAGCTGCCATGGTGTTTGGTCCCATCGTTTGATTCCAATTCCAAACCAATGACTTTTGAAGATGAGTTTCATGGACAAACACCACAACACCAAACGACCTGCCATGCATGGTAGCTTTTCCTGTGTTTAGCAGTTGTAATGACTCACGAGCTTCAGGCGCGTCTGGGGTTTCTGAGGGTTGAGCCGGTTGAAGCACCCCCGAGCCATTTTTAGGTTCGGAATCTCCTGCAAGAGAGCCTTCTGGTGTCAAAAGTGTGGGGCAAATGTAGAATCTGCGGAGCTGCCAGAGACAGGACAATCCGCCAGGGAGCATAGGTGTCCTTTTTGGTTGGTTTGCTTACAAAATAGAGGGGTTTCCCTGGTTTAGATGGTGGTTTTTGCTCATCTACCAGGGAAACCCATCTATTTCCCCTAACAGGACACCTATGCCAGGGAGGTGTTCCAAAGCCCTGATTCTGAAGCCTTTGATCTGAGAAGGCGCGTCTTCCCGAGGGCCATTTCCCCCCTGGTCGGGCTGAAAGGGAAACCGAAGGGTTCTTTCAGCAAGTCCCGGGTATATTCTTAGCTAAACCAAAAGGAGAACGGCAGGAGAACGCTTTGTCAAGTTTCAACTTCGGACAACTTTGCTATGGTGTATCTTGAGTACCCTTTGTCCAACAACCATGGAAATGGACGTTTTGGGTCCGCGCTCCTGTCTTCCATTCGGAGGGAGGGTATGATTACACCACCATTGTTTACCTGAGTGTCATCTTCTAAATTTGCTTTGTTGTTTACCTCAGCATGCTATCTGAATTTGGGTGATGATGATACACATTTACGATGTTTGACAACCATTCTGATGTTTCTTTTTTGTTCGGGGGGTTGCCCCATTTCGGCGGTTCTAAAGGACACCAGGAGGAAAGCCACTTTTCCAGGGTGATCCCCTAGAAAGACCCCGATTTATCCCTTTGGCTTCCCACCGCCCAGAAAAGGACGGGGCCTCCGAATTTTTCGGGGGGGGGCCGGCGGTTTCCGCCAGGCCTTCGCCGGGCCGCGCGGCGCGCCGTCGGAAGCGCCGGGGGTCTGAGCGCCGTCGAGTTGGCCTTCCGCGTGGACGGGCCAACATCAGTCGGGGCGGTTTTTAGGGCTTCCTAAGGCGCAGGTGTTTGGGGGCTCGTTGACCAGGGCATGCCGGGGTGGCATTCTGGCTTCTGGCTTTTCCTTGGCATCCGCGCCCTCAACAAAAAAGGGCTCAAGCACTCGTTTGGTGGTTGCATCTTTAGTGCATACCCTTTTGGGTTTGCTTTGGGAGGGGGTGGAGGTTCCCCGGTGTTGAAACAATGCCTGTTTGTATTTGTGTCACATCCTTCAGCTTGCCGCTTTGAGCATGTGCACATGTGCTTGCACTCAACCTGAAATACAATGGCCATGCGTCCCAGGCTTGTCATTTCAAACTCGCCTTGGAAAAAAAAACAAGATCCCCCCCAAAAAAAAGGCAAGATGGGGGAAGAAGGAACAGAAACAGATCCTCCCCCCTGGTTGCCCCCGCGATCCGGATTCCCTCTCGGCTGGATCCGCGGATTTGGGAAGTTCCTCGTCCCGGGCCAAAAGGAAACCACGGATTTTGAGGGGTTCTATGTTAAGACTCACCCAGGAAGGGTCCTTTTTTGGTACAAGCATTGCCGCTTCATCGCTATCCCAAGGATTTCTCTTTAACTTGCAATGTTTGGGTGGAAACTTCTCAGGCGCAAGCCGCGGTTGATGAAACACGGGTGGTGTTCCATTGATGAGCCCCAAAATGTGGGGCAACAGTCCCCAAATAAGCCGCAGCCGTTATGAATCCGGCCTGCGTCGACATGGGGTTGTCTCCAAATTAGTATACCCCCAAACATATGTTGATTCCCAGTGGTTTCCTCAAAACCAACCATAAAGAAATTCCTAGTGTTTTCCCTTTTCAACCTTTTCAAAACCAACCACAAAGGGGGTTCCACCCCCAAAACAATCGGCAGTGGCGCGCAAAAATCCGCGCGTAGGCTCCACTCCTCGGTGGTCGTTTCAGTCCACGGCATCGCGGATCACGAGCCCATCGCCGGGCACGAGGCCGGATTGCGGGGGTTGGAAGCGCGTCGGCTTGAAATGGGTGGTCACGGATACGCAAAAAAGGAGGACCGCCTCCCCGGAAATGGGGTTTGTCTTTTTTTGGGGGGGGGCCCTTTTTTGGAAGACACAAATGAACCATTTCCCCACTACACTCTAAAAGGGAATCCTCCTTGGATTCTTTACATGGTTTGCGTCACCCAATGGTCCCGTGTTGCAACTAGTTTTCCTCCTACAGGCCGCCGATTTTGGAGCCTTGTGTCAAGGTTCTATTTTTTGGCCACAAAAGAATGTAGTCCACCGCAGGGGCAATCAAAGGATGGATCCTGGGTAACCTTCGCATGAACTGGAGCCTGGGGAGCATCCTCAACGTGGTTGTACATCATTCCAACCAGGTCTTTATCTGCCCAAGTGCCCATCCAACTCAAATGGGGGGGGTGTCGTTTTTATAGTTTCCCCGACAAGGGATCGATCCGGAGTTGTTCAAAGGGACACATGGGCGTGTCTTTGTCAAAAGTCAAAAGGCCTCCTCCTCCCCTCCCCTCCCCTCCCCTGCCCCCCCTTCCGCCCTCCCCTCCCCTCCCCTCCCCTCCCCTCCCCTCCCCCTCCCCCCTGCCCTCCCCTCCCTTCCCCTCCCCTCCCCCCTCCCCCCTTTTTTGGTGATGTTGTTTATCCCCAACAACTGACAGCTTTTGGGTCTCAGCCCGGATAGGCTCCGGGCTGGTCCGGGGCGACCCTGAGGTAAGGTTCCACGAGGTTTCTACCAGGGCTCCACCAGGGCTCCACCAGGGCTCCACCAGGGTTCCACGAGGGTTCGTTCCACCCGAGGTTCTGCAAGGACTGCGGGGTGGTGCGAGCACTAAAAAGAGTACCGCATGCTGTTGGGGATATCACCTGAGCTTATTGGTTTCTCTTTAAATCCACCAACAGGAGGTACCAATCTCCAAACCAGACGCCCCGCTGCCGAGGTGGAGGTTTGGGAGATCCCGTCGGCGCGCTGGGAGCGTGGGCGAAGTGTGCAGCCTCCGGCCAAGAGGCGGGGGAGACCCGAGGTCGGATGTTCTGAAATCGTAAGACGTGTTGACCCCCCCAAAAACCAACTCCTTAGCAGTAGGGGGGTGCTTCTCCCTGGGTGCAATGTGGGGAAGCAAGAGTCAGGGGAGGTCTGACGTGGTTTGGATGTTCTGACTTCGCAAGTAGGTTACAAGGGCGGTGAGGAATATTCATTGGGCCCCCAAATGACCATGGTTGACTTTTCCATTGGGTTCCAGCCAAGAGGCGGGGGAGATCCGAGGTCGGATGTTCTGAAATCGTAAGACGTGCTGACCCCAAAAAAACAAACCCCTTAGCAGTAGAGGGGTGCTTCTCCCTGGGTGCAATGTGGGGAAGCAAGAGTCAGGGGAGGTCTCACGTGGTTTGGATGTTCTGACTTCGCAAGTAGGTTACAAGGGGGGTGAGGAATATTCATTGGGCCCCCAAATGACGATGGGTAACCTTTCCATTAGGTTCCAGCCAAGAGGCCCCCAAATGACCATGGGTAACTTTCTATTTTAGTGGTGAAAGTCATCTTTTTGTGGTTTCCCCCAACGGTCATCCCATGTAAAGGACCTTTTTGATCAAGCCCCATATGTTATAACCAGTTTAACCTGTTTTCCTTAGTAAGGAAGCCATGGTAAGTTGTAACGGCAATAAGGAAAGCCCCCAGTTTCCCCCAGCTATACCCATGGTTATAACCTATCTAAGTCGCTTCAAGATCCAAGCGATTTTACGCGGCAAGCACCTGGTTTCTAGGCTGTCGTTCAAAGGGAAGCCAAAGACGAATCACTTTCGGGTTGCTTTTTGGTTGTGGTCTCTCTTGGGAAACCACAGCCAAAGCTGTGCATGTTGGCTCGGAGACTGACGAATTTTCTGATCTCCGCAGGAGCGAACTGGAATCCTGACGGTGGCTCGAAAAGGCAACGGGTGGAATTTACCGGTGCGCACGGATCATTCGGGGGAAAAGCACCCGTGCTATTTCTTCGGTCCTTTTTCCATCTAAGAGTGTTTTCTCGGATTTTCTTTCTTTCCCTTGGTTTCTCACTAAGCAGCGACCTGCCCTGTTTCTCCCCCCATGTTTTTTCTTCTCAGAACAAAACAACAAAAACAACCAGAAACAAACAGAGAACACAACGAAAGAATCGCTCTGTCCTTCGCTTCGCAGCGCGCGCGAAGCGCAGGACGGCCAGCGCCCGCACCAACTCGGAGGGCCGCGCACAGGTGGCTCTCGAGGCGCCGACTCAGACGTGAGTCGGGGGTGGGGAGTCGTGAATCGTGAGTCGGGGGCCCATGGAGATGATTTCGGATTTTCCTCTTCGAGCAATTTTGTTTAAGGTGGGGGTGGTTGTTGGCAAAATTTGGCTTTTCATTGTGTGTGTGGTTTGTCTCAAAATAGGAATATAACTAGTCATCTATTGGGGAGGACGAGAAGGGGGATAACCCAGATGTCCTAGAACCAGGAATTTCCACAAATCTCCTTTGGCCTCCAAAAGTGGTCTGACCAGGGAGAAGCACCCCCATATTAATACACAGGGGTTGATGAATATGGGGTCAATATCATTCGGTTCCAGAAAGCTTTTTAGATGGTTTTGGTTGGTGAAAGTTGGTGGGGTTTTCATCTAAGCTACCACGAGTTCTTCACTTTTAGCATGAAGACAGCCAGACAGCCCGTTCACCTCCCAAAGTAATGAACCCACACTCAGAAGGGACACCCTCTGCTCAACCGGGGGTTTGTGAAATCTGGGTTCAACATAGGCGGGTGTTCTTTTCCCAATGAACCTCTGAAAGGGGATTCAATCCGGGGTTCGCATTTGGATCGCATTTGGTTTGACCCCGGTCGACACTCGATATCCTCATGAACATGGCCGGGTCCATTCAATCTTCCCGGTGCCGTGAGCCTTGGGTGAGGGAAAGGTAGAGATGCTGCCAGGCAAAAAAATAATAATACCCTAAATGAAGGTTGCAATTTCTGGTCCGCAACGCCGGGGGAGGGGGTTTGGGCTGTCTGAATTGGTGAAATTCATTGGAGGTTCCCCAAATGGGGGTTCGTTTTATTGGGGGCTGCGCCCCTTCAAATTGCCGTAAGGGTTCAATTTGAGGGTTTTGTGGGGAGGTGGCCGATTTGTCTGGCTTCTCAGGGAATGCGGGTGTGGGGGTTGTTTGTTTTCAAGTGGAGCCGAAGGGAAGCCGAAGCACATCTTGGATGGGAGCAAAACTCTTGCAACCATTCCGTACACACACACACACCTTCAGTTCCTGGACCTTTTTTGGCAAGACCATTTCACACCGAGGGTTGGGCGTTTTTTTGGGGCCATCCACTTCGGAAGTGCAGGGGATTCCCGCAATTTGGATCAAATGCGGGGGTCTTTCGCTGGGATCGAAGCCTGCAACTGCTGGGCGAAAATTCGTCAACTTCTCTTGGCAGCTTTGTTGCTTCCCTTGGCTCACTTTGAGAGGAGTGCTTGGGGATCCCCAAATCCGAAGGAACAAGCTGAACTCCGATCCAGTAGATTCCTGTTTGAGGGGTGGGGTTCCATATGAGTCACTGACGAAACTAGCTGCGGTCGTCTAAAGCTAAAACCTAATGTTTTGGAACCACCAGGGGGGCTACTCACTTTTCCCATGTCCTCTTGGGAAACCAAGTCATGTCGGGAGAGTACGCCGAAAAAGAGCTCCCGTCCTGTTCTTTGTCTTGCGAATCCACCGGAGACGTATCGTTTTTTCTTCGCGGAAGCTCCCGGGCCGGACGCAAGTCTTCCAAGACGGGGAGCTGGGAGCTTCCATGGAGTCGCGGGGGACTATGAGAAATGGTGGACATCATTTAGGCTGGGATTTATGTCCACCACTTTTCAGGGGGTTACCTAGCAGCCAAAAATACCAACACCCTAAGCCAAACGAGCGACAAGCGCTTTTGCAGGAAAGCGCGGGCCAGTACGACAAGGCTCGGGAGTGCTACGTTGATGGGGTGACCCTCGTTTTCAACTCTGGCAGTGTGACCATCAGAGAGGTTTTGGAAGGCGACTGCTCTACATCCTTGGTGGTTCCCAGCCATCCGGTTCCTTAAGGTTTTTAGGTTTGTAGGGCTTGGTGATGATTTCCACTAAGCCTCTAAGAGTTAATCTTTTCGCAGGGATCTGAGGACAGCCCAGTGATCTTTGCGCGTTGGTGTAAGTGTGTGTGTGTGTGTGTGTGTGTGTGTGTGTGTGTGTGTGTGTGTGTGTGTGTGTGTGTGTGTGTGTGTGTGTGTGTGTGTGTGTGTGTGTGTGTGTGTGTGTGTGTGTGGGGGGGGGGGGGGCAAAAAGTCAGTCGGTGGGTGGCACGAGAGCTCGAATTCGGAAGTGAATTCTTGGGGAGGGCTTGTCAAAATTACTCCTGGGGTGTTGGTCCCCTTTCAACCACCATTTGGAGGGGAATTTGAGGATGTCACGAAAGCACTGCTGGAGTTGTCCTACCTAAGACGCGTTTCCCAATCCTGGCATGGCGGGGCCGAAACAGCTCGGGCCAGAATGCCGCTTTTTTTTTGCCTAACACTTCCTCAGCATGCAATTTTGCCATTTTGCCAGGTAAGGCTGCGAGCTCGTTTGCCCCCTGTCACCGTCCACAGTACCTGTTGCTTGCCTGCCTTCGTTCCGCCTCGCAGTCACTTTACGGACCCGGTGAATGCCGGCTCGACGGTTCAGTGCTTCCTGCATGCAACGGGGCCTTCTGCACGACAATTTTACGAGGGGGTTCGTGTCGTTGCGGGTCTGCTTCCGCGAGCATTTCATCCAAGTGCCATCCTGGGCCCGGGACAATGAGTCTGCTGTATTTTCATACAGAGTTGACAGCATGCAGGTTGTCGTGAAGCTCGTGGACCATCCTTCACTCAACAGCTTTGGGCACATCTTCTTTTTGTCTGCAAGTTTTTTTTTGTTCTTGATTTGTTATTTGTGGCTTGGTTTGTTTTAGTTTTGCTAGGCCCTTGGCCTTAGAATCCGAGCCTCGGATTCCGCAGGGCTACGTGGTGGTCGTGAGAGATCCACAGACCGGGGAGATCCTCTTGGGGGACTTGCGCCAAGCTCAGAGCCAGTTCTGGGAGTCCAGGCGTCCCGCAGAGCCGAAAGTTCCCCTTGGGTTCTCTCCAGAGGATGGGTATGGGTCAAAACTAGACCACCAGGAATCGGACCGCAGGTTTCAGTCCATGTTTCCGTTTACCAGGGCAAGCCATTTTAGGTACATATTTTGACCCACAGCCGTTTGACATGTTGTCAAAAGTCACGTAGGGTAACCCCCAAATGGCTTGCCCGATCGGTAAATGGAACCAAGGACCAGAACCGGCGGTCCAATTCCCGTTGGTTTTTTTTTTTTTTAGACCCATACCCAAATGGAAGGCGGGCAAACCGATGAACTCTTCGTTTGTGACTTGAAGAAATGTTGGCTTGTCGGTTTGGAGCTTTGTTTCTTTTAGTTTGGGAACCCCCAAACCCTTCTTTTCCCCAGGTGTCCCTTGAAACCCACGAAAAAGAACACAAAAACCACCAAAACAAGACGGACCCGTTTTTGGGAACTCTATTCATTCACTTTCGATTGAAGACATTTCAGCGCTTTCTGGCCCTGGCATATGCTCCGAAGGAGTTAGAATCAAAGCTTACGCTTGGCTGGGATTCTTGATGGCCTGGATCATCTTCCGTCTTTTCTTTCTCCCCTTTCTTGTGATACGTTGTACTTATTTATGTATTTCTTTCTTCCTTTCTTTCTTTCTTTCTTTCTTTATTTATTTAATTATTTATTTATTTATTTATTTATTTATTTATTTATTTATTGTTTTTCCTCTTTTTTTTTGTTACACATTTACGTTTAATTGACTGCTTTATTTGCTGTTGTTTGGCATCAAGCACCTGGTCCAATAGTTTTTGGGACACATGTCTGACCCAACCCCAGGGTGCTTTTTTGAGATCAGCCGAAGGTGTGTGTGTTTCTCAGAAGCGAGAACCATTGGTTCTTCACGGGTTTTTGGAGACAAGGAAAGCATGCGGCTGAGCCTTTTGCCATCGACTTCCGGCTGTTCCATTGGGACGCTCAGAGCCACCCTACGATGGGGCCCATTGTGATGAAATCACTGCTTATAACCGCTGTTGGCCAAACTAAGTGGGTGGTGAACCACTCTCCTGTTTCTTGTTGGGCCATAATAAAGCCTGCAAACCTTCACAACCGTAGAACCCAAAGTCAATAGGTGGGCGCAGCTCCTTTGCTTTTAACCACCACGGGTCCCCCCAGAAAGGAACGTTTCTCAACGTTTTCACGTCTTTTTAGTGTCTTGATACGTGGCAAGAGCCAGCACATGCTTCATATGAGCCACGTCCTCAAAACCGATTCGGGTAGGTGAAGGTTAGTAAGCAGTCCCAACCATAAATGGTTGCGGATATCCGCCTTCTTAATCCTTTGCATGGTTCTGGGTGGATGGTTTGAATACCTGGTTTTTATTATGACTCTTTTGTATTTCTTCTCATTTTAGGGGGCAAGAGCCAAGCTATTGCTGAGCCAGTGGTTGATTCCATGTGTACTTCAATGAGGCCCCCAAAAAAAACAAGACGGAAAGAAGAGGCAAACAAAATCAGTAAAAAGAAGGTGGCTCCGTTCTGAACTCCCATTTGATAGCCAGCCTGAAAGGGCACTGAGCCCATGTGGGTTCGTCTCGAAATGGGGAAACTCCTAGAAATGGTGGCTTGCTTCCCTTGATTGCCCTTTAAAAGACAAACAAAACAACAAATTGCTGGTTTCCCTTGTCTTCCCTCTTGAATGAACCCCCTTAATTGCAGGTTTCTCCTTCATTTCCCACTTAAACACAAACCCCAACAACTTTGCACCCCTCAAAGATGCCCCAACTGGGTGGACGTCAGCCAAGCAAAAACGTTTTTCGGCCGACAAAGCGCAGGCTGCGGATGGGGAGGGCTGGCGCCAGCAGGACTTGGGGCCTAAGCCCCAGACTTGGAGCAGACCAAACCAGACGTGTGGCTCAAGATTGAAGAGCTAGGGTTACGCACAGGGTTGATCGAGGAATTGGTTTCTCCAAATACTTCTGTGATACAACTTGGAATCCCCCGTTATAGGAAGAAAATAGTCTTTGGGAATCCCTTTCTGTTGACAGAAGTGGTCATTCCCGGCCCTGGTTACGCAGGTTTGAGTCTTTGGTTCCATTTGCCAAGGTGCCATTATGGGCACCCTTTTTTCGAGCAGCCATGTGAGTGATGTAAGGGTCATATCCATGAGAGTGATGTGAGGGTCATCATATGGCCACGGGTCAGAACATCCGATTCAATCCAACCACTAAAATTGGTTCTAAAATGGGTGGTGAATTCACCTACCCCAAAATGGAGAACCATTGGTTTTGACCCACGTCCATATCAAGCTTCATATCCATCTCAGACCCGTGCGCGGTCGTTTTAGTACCTCAACCCTTCAGGTACCCCCTTAGATGGGTGTTTCTCAAAACTGGCGAGGCAATGGTACGGAGATTTGCGAAGCTTGCTCGGACAGAAAAGCAAAAAAAGAAAACACAAAAAAACATAAAAAAAGAACAAAAACCTCGCCGGGCCACCAAAGTTGTTGGGCGGTTGAAATCCCGGGTCCGACACCGCCCAGCCGTCTTGTGAAATACCTCAATGTCCGGTGTTTCTCAAAGCTAGCGACCCCATCCAGGTGCCTGGTTTCCTTTGAACAATGGTTTTAAAGGGACACCACAAGGCGAACCGCATTTGTTTTTTGTGTGTGGGGGAGGGGGGGAGGGGGTGCCTGTAAATCTCCATATGGGTGGCTCGTCTTTAAGAATGGTGCCCCATGATTGGTTTTGTTTCAAAGGGGAATCCAAGAGGCAGACCACAAATTTTGGGGGGTTCCCCCAAAATGGCGTAACTGTGGTGCTTTTGGTCTCCCTTAAAAACAAAACCAGAAAACGGGTGTGGCCAGCAAAACAAGAGACCCATCTGGAGATTTACAGGGAAACCAGAAGGATCCACCGAACAAAAAACACCACAAGACAGCAGTCAAAACCGCCAAGAGGGGTTAGGAAAAAGACATCATGGGGTTGTCGTTTTTCGAGGGTATCTCGTTTTTGTGGTTTTAAAGGTTTTGGACAGCCACAATTTTTGGATCTCCTAAGTTTTTTTTTGGGGTCGAAATATGAAGCGGGATGTGAAACTGCACATGTTTGCCTCCAAGATTATGATGGATTTTAGGGCAGAGAACATCTGATTTGCGCCAAGTTGCCGCCCCAACACGAGCCAACGGTCGAAAGATGCTTTCTTAACAAGGGCATGGGGTGCGCCCCCTTGTTTTCCCAAGAGATTTGGGCCTCTCCCAAGATCCCTCCCGGTTTCCTGCAGATTTTGACACCGAACCCTTCGTTGGCTGCGTTTGTCGTGCGTTCTGAGAACAAACGCTGGCGGCCGCGCTGCGATTGTCCATCACCACGGACCGGGCGGTTTACGCGGGGGGCTCAGAATGGCAAACAGAGTCGAGTCCGAAACTGGGCTCCTAAGTTGGGGGGCCCAACCTGCCTGCGTTGGCGAGCTCTTTTAGGAGTTATTTCGCATTTCTTTGTACATCCCCAGCTAGAGAAGTGATTTCCATGCAAATCACATGCCCCCTCCCAAAAAAAGCTCGGAAAAGACAGGAAAGGGCAGTACCGGAGGTATCATCTCTGAGGGATGGCGCTTGAGTACTTACAATCCTGTCGACTCAAATGATATGAAACCCTACCAAAATGTAGCATGTGATCCAGGAGCTATCGCGTCCGTTTCCTCGAAAATCAAGCACCCAAAATAGGGGGGTAAAGTTCCATTAGAACCTTCAGCTCGCTCCTCGACGTATCTCTTTGGAGAAAGCTGTCCCAAGAGAGAGAGAGAGAGAGAGAGAGAGAGAGAGAGCTTTGCTGGCGAAGGTGGGAATTGTTCCCGTTGAATCGGCATTTTGCGTAACCATCTTCGCAAGGGTTATCTGGGACGATGATGTGATAGAAACAGGAGTTTGTCTCTGGTGCATGTTCGAACCAAGGAGAAGCAGACCCTGCACCAGAGCGCTGTTGAATGGAGCTAGTCAAGTGACACCCTGCATATCACCCTTTAAGCTTACGAGAACATCAACCTCGAAAACTCAGTTTGCAAATTCTTACTTGAATTTGCCCAGAGAGAGACAGAGAGACAGAGAGAGATAGAGAGGGAGGGAGAGAGAGAGAGGTATCTAACAGGGATTGTAGTTTTCTTTGTATAAATCTGTGTAACTTGCAGCCACCCAAAGTCAATTGGTGTTCACACTTAAAACCTGTCTACAGGACATTGGATATTTAAAGACCTACCAAATCCCTTTCCCTGTAGCCTTTCCAGGTTTGTCTGGGCCCTCACCACATACCCTCCCACCAATTCACATGGAGCCGTTCGACCTTCGGGGTCAAATGGTCTTGGACCCCGAACGTCGAACGGTTCGGTTCCCTGTGAATTTCGTGGGAGGGTCAATCCATCCGTTTTTCCTCTAGACTCCCCGCTTCTTCTTTGAATTGGGCTCCCCATTTCCCTGTGAATTCTTCCATGTGAAAAGGGTAGTCTATGGCTACCAGCCAGAGATTTGACACCTCTCCAGGAGATTTCTGCCTGTCACATCTCTGGCTTTCAGCTGGGTGGACTCCCCGCCGACCCAAAACCCAGCAGATGGATCCTCTCGCAGCTCAGGCGCCGGGGGATGGCCTCGGCTTCATGGGCGTGGTGGCGGCCGTGGGCGCCATCTGCCCCGGGAAGAAGCCAGGAGCGATCGAGATCCATCGGAGCGGAACCACACCTCTCTCGTTTTTTTTTTTTTTTTTTTTTTTTTTTTTTTTTTTTTTTTTTTTTTTTTTTTTTAAATAATATAATAAATATATATATATATACATGTAATGTTTATTTATGTATATATATATATAATAACGCGACAGGAACAGACGTTTTCCAGTTCCGGACATCCAACACTTTGGTTGGTGCTCTCTCCCTCTTTTGTCTTCTTTTGTTTTTCCCGAGAGGAAGAGACCTTGGGTGTCCTCTGCTGATCGGTTGAATTGGGGCAAAGAAGTCCATGGGTTCCATCTCGGTTCGCCGGAGAAATCCATCGCAATTTTTCCACGTCACCTATGGAGGAGACGCGCCAGTTGCAGACATCCAAGACATTTTATTTGCTGCTTGGGTGTTCGTGGCCAAATTCGCAAGTTGCTGGGAACTTAGGTTGCCCGCATAAGTTTCCAGCAGATTTAACCTTGTGATTCGTGGGGAACACAGATGGCCAACCGTTAGCCACTTACCATCTCGGCCGAAAATCCAAGTACATGTGTTTTGGTAGGCAAGTGTCAACTGGTAGGCATGGGAGTTTTCGGGTTGGTAGATTCAGGGGGCTGTACTTCGGGCCATGCTCAAGGTGTCCTTTGGGCTTTGGGCTTTGATTTCAGCGCTTGGATGCGAAGGTCAACCCATGGCGGTGGTCAAAATTAGGTACTCAAATGGGTTGCCCTGGTAAATGGAAGCATGGACTAAGCTCTCCGATTCCTGGTGGTTTTTGACCCACACCTGGTCTTTTGTGGGGGTTTATTTCACTTGCTGGGACGGTCATGGATATCGTGTGGAACTTATTCATTCATGACTCCTGCAACTGTTTACAATGTACAAGACGTTTGCAGCTACTGTTATAGTAACTGTTACTGAGGCTACTGTTATAGTAACTGTTGCTGAAGCTACTGTTATAGTAACTGTTGCTGAAGCTACTGTTATAGTAACTGTTGCTGAAGCTACTGTTATAGTAACTGTTGCTGAAGCTACTGTTATAGTAACTGTTGCTGAAGCTACTGTTATAGTAACTGTTGCTGTAACTGTTGCTGAAGCTACTGTTATAGTAACTGTTGCTGAAGCTACTGTTATAGTAACTGTTGCTGTAACTGTTGCTAAGTAACTGTTATAGTAACTGTTGCTGAAGCTACTGTTATAGTAACTGTTGCTGAAGCTACTGTTATAGTAACTGTTGCTGAAGCTACTGTTATAGTAACTGTTGCTGAAGCTACTGTTATAGTAACTGAAGCTACTGTTATAGTAACTGTTGCTGAAGCTACTGTTATAGTAACTGTTGCTGAAGCTACTGTTATAGTAACTGTTGCTGAAGCTACTGTTATAGTAACTGTTGCTGAAGCTACTGTTATAGTAACTGTTGCTGAAGCTACTGTTATAGTAACTGTTGCTGAAGCTACTGTTATAGTAACTGTTGCTGAAGCTACTGTTATAGTAACTGTTGCTGAAGCTACTGTTATAGTAACTGTTGCTGAAGCTACTGTTATAGTAACTGTTGCTGAAGCTACTGTTATAGTAACTGTTGCTGAAGCTACTGTTATAGTAACTGTTGCTGAAGCTACTGTTATAGTAACTGTTGCTGAAGCTACTGTTATAGTAACTGTTGCTGAAGCTACTGTTATAGTAACTGTTGCTGAAGCTACTGTTATAGTAACTGTTGCTGAAGCTACTGTTATAGTAACTGTTGCTGAAGCTACTGTTATAGTAACTGTTGCTGAAGCTACTGTTATAGTAACTGTTGCTGAAGCTACTGTTATAGTAACTGTTGCTGAAGCTACTGTTATAGTAACTGTTGCTGAAGCTACTGTTATAGTAACTGTTGCTGAAGCTACTGTTATAGTAACTGCTGCTGAAGCTACTGTTATAGGAACTGTTGCTGAAGCTACTGTTATAGGAACTGTTCCTGAAGCTACTGTTATAGGAACTGTTACTGAAGCTACTGTTATAGTAACTGTTGCTGAAGCTACTGTTATAGTAACTGTTGCTGAAGCTACTGATAGTGGATCTTTTTCAAGACGTAGTGATGGTGTCCTTTGGCTTGGTGGAACATGGATGGATTCAGCCACGTGTTCCCGGTCTTTTCGTAGCATCTAATCTCTAAGGATGCCTAGGGTTCAATCCATTCCTGGGCTTTTTTGGCTTCAAGGTTTTTGGGACAAGGAACCCTGGTGCCAAAAGTTGTTGTATGTTCTGGGGTCAGAGTCTAACGGTTAGAGCTTTGTGGCCAAAAGGTGGTTTTTGGATGCCTCAGTTGCTTGTGGCTCCCTTTGTTTGAGGGGATCCCTGGTTTGATGGTCTTAAAGGGACAGCAGAAGAAGAAGAAGAAGAAGAAGAAGAAGAAGGAGACCGACGCCGTTGTGGGGGGTTACCTAAAAAAAGACTCTCCCACCAGTTCGTGGAGCTATTGGGCTTCGAAAGATGGCAGCTGCAAGGCAACATCTGTTCACCAGCGGCCACGAGCGGTGCTGGAGACGGTGCCTAAGAGCCGATGTCGGAGCATAGGAATCGGACCCCAGGTTTTAGTCCTTGGCAAGCCATTTACCAGGGCTTGCGCCATGTTGGTTACCGATTTTTGACCCACCATATGGATCTATCTGGCTATTCGAATGAGGGACCACCTCACAAGCGGTTGGTGGACATGAATCTGCGCGAAGGGCGGCACTACCCCCCAAAACCATCGCACGTGATCTGTTTTTGAGTCGGCATGTTTTTCTTTCTTTCGGGGTTTTAAAGGGAAACCACTGGGCAACCCCCGTGGAAACCACAAGGGAAATCCAAAGCGGGCTGCATTTGGAAGGCCCCCACTTCAGACAAACTTAGAGGGGAACGGGCTGATTTCAACATGAGTCTCCCAAATGGGCATGACCGGTGATGGAAGGTCGGGAAATCTGTGCTCGGAGAGTTTTACGGCTCCAGCGCGATGCATGAGGCAAGAAAGCAAGAGACCACAGACCGAAAAGGTTTGTTGCTAGCGAGCCAGAGCTGCAGAAACCAGCCCAGATGGACACAGAACGAGAGTTACTTAGCTTTTCGAGTCGCCATGACGGCTGCAATGACTCCGGAGGCCGGTAAGTTGATCAACGCGTCCAAAAGCAGGAGGTGTCCTATTTTGAGTCGGCATTCTGTCTTATTTGGAGTCGGTACCCTTTTTGGGTTTGTTTTTTTGGAAAACCAAACGACAACCACCACTGTTCGAGGTATCAAAAAACAAACATGCATATTTTTGAATGAAATTCAGGAGTAGCCCCGAAAATATCGATTTCTCAAGGGTTCACACTTTCGGGCAAATATTCCCTGTGCTTCTCTCAGGGTTCCCCAAAGGGCCACTTTAATTTGGGGTGATGTTGAACGGGGAAACATCGCTCTAGGTGCATTCGTCCAGGGTCAACAGAGGAGACTGTGGCCTACTCAACTTTCCTGTTCAAACATGGTGGACCCTCCAAAGTGATTTTTGTTCGTTTGCAGCTTTCCTTCCAACATGAGCAGCGCCCAAAATTCGAAGGGGCCCTTTGGTAGGTGGATCTACCTGGCTTTATAGGGGCTACAGCAAGGTCTCTACAACCCTTCATATCCATATCAGTAGAGTCAGCAGTCACCGGGTGAAACGGGCACATGGAATCGCACACGGGTTCCCATACAAATATGTTTTTGTTGTATTTTTTCCCGGTCCACCCAAACAAAAATGAAAAAAATAAACATAGAAAAAGGGTGTTCCTTTTGGTTTCCCTTTTAGACCACCACCAAAAACAGCACTCCTTTAAAAGCAGAGCACTTTTAGATACGGATCCTTCTTTCAGGTCTGGGACCAGCTGAAGCACCTGCGAGAAGACCGGGAGAAGCTCAAAGAGGCTCTTCGCTCTGCGGGACCCCCCCCCCAATTCGGCCCCCGGCGACTTGGGCCATGGGTCAAAAGCCAAATCGGTGACCCCCAGTGAACATCCGATTCAATCCAACCACTAAGCAAAAAACAACTCTAGGTGCCCATGGCACGGGTTTGGGGGGGGGGACCAAGAAACCCAGAAACAAACATACCCCAAAATAAGGAGGTTGCAAAAAATAGACCCCAAGTGTCCACCATACTCCCCCCCCCCCCCAGCCCCGGCCGTTTTTTTTCTTGCTGGAGTATCGTACGGATGAACAGGGTAAATGTTGGGCATTGTGGTAGGTAGGGCCTTAGGCATCCAAATGTCATGCTGATTTCAGGTTCCATTTTGGAGAACTCACTCCGCAAGGTGAAGTTCCACATGTCCATGGAACAACTTGGCTGGCAGCCTTAGGGAGTCCCGTGCAAAAGATGCCCCCTGACACATGTTTTGAAGCGATTCGCATGGGTGTCAAAAAATTGGGATACCCCGAAGACGGTGGTTCCTTTGTGCTTCCCTGGAAGACCACCTTAAAAAAATCCTGACCGGACCCACGCCTAGCACAGACCCACGCCTAGCACACCGACACCGGGCTTCAGGCTGCGGAGCGGGCGCTGCAAGATGGCGATGAGGGCGGCTTCGAGTTTCAGAACATGTTGGCCAGCGAGATCACCGACGCTGGTTTTCGCCTGCCCAAAGTGAATGGCTTTTAGTGGTTTCATACAGAAAGCCCATTAGTTGGCAAAAGTTAAAGTCCTGACATCCAAGCAAAATGCACCAAAGTTAATGTGGGTATGGGTCAGCCACCAGGAATTGGACCGCAGGTTTTGGTCCATGTTTCCACTTCCTAGGGCAACCCATTATTTTTTTTCCGGCGAAATGCCTGGTCGGGGATATTTGATGTTTCTCCAAGCAACCTCTCTGAATTGGGGGGGGGACATTTTTTGGTCTTCTCCCCCGATAAAAAGGTTTTCTTTAGCTGGATTCTACACGATCATGGATGCTACACACATTGTCCTTTGGTGCAAGCTGGAGCCCGTTATTAGGACCCGCTTGGGGTCTGATAGCAAATCCACCAGGTTGATGAATCCGACATTCAGCTTTGTCTGAGCAGGATCTGAAGGTTTCCACACTACACAAACGCACTGTGGATGGACGAAATCCTGCACCACCTAAAACTCCCTGGAATGCTGATTCCCATGTAAATACCAACAAACCAATGGTTTCCCATGTTTCAAAGTGGTGCGAAATGGATTTTGTCCATCCACAGTATGAGCTGGAAACTGTCCACAGTCTGCTGTTTGGGCGCCCCAAGAGGGGCGCGCGAGTTTGCAAATAGGGAAGGACAGGCCGCATCGTTGTTTCCTAGAGGGCCTTAGTTTCTGTGTGTCCCTTCACAACTGGGCCCTCTTAAGATTTCCTAAGCTCTGACATGTTGCAAGTACTAAACTCCCTCCAACAATCATGGAAGTGGACAGAGGGATTCCCTCTATGCTGGTAGGGCAAACCAACCATACACCCGCTGTTTGCCAAGGTTTCCCGGGTTGCCTTGCGAAGAACCAGGAAATCAGACATATTTATTGGCATCACAAAACCAATGTGGAGCCTGGAATAACAAGGTCCCCCAACATTGGCACTAGGACATGATCACGGATTATGCACCATCCTTTTCATGTTTTTTCTAAAACTTGATACATGTATGTACGTATGTATTATATATATACATGCACATACAGACAAACACTGCATGTAATTGTCTATGTGCATGTATGAATAGATGTACGTGTGTCAGTGTACAAGTCTCAGGGGCGGGAAACCCCGATCAATTCATTTGCGTAAGGGGCTGTGCCGGAACCGGAATGCCTCAGCTGGGCGCAGGAAAAGATGGAGATATACATTCGGCTGCGTAAGTGAGTGTCGGAACCGGTTTCCAACTGAGCCACAATCAAAACCTGGGTACATGAAGGTTAGTAAGCAGCCCCAGCCAGAAATAGTTGCGGCCGCCTTCTTAATTCTTTACATGGTTCTGGGCAGACCATCTTCATCCCGGGTTTTGAGCAAGTGACTCAACTAAGGAAAGGTGAGTATTTGTTGGTGGGGATGATGTTTTTTTGGTTTTTGTTTTTTTCTCATTTTTTTTTCGGGGAAATCTCGGGAGCCCTGGCAAGTGCCGGGGAACGAGCTCGAAGGAAAAGATCGAGGAGATCGAGGGGAAGTACGGCGCGCAGCCCCCGCTGCCCGGGGCCAAGAATGAGTCGACGGCGCTGGAGAAGCTGCCGCTGCCGCCGCCGCCGGCAGTGCCTGGACCGTCCGGGGACCCGAGAGGGTGAGAGATGGAGAGGGGAGAGGGGCGAGGGGAGTCCCTTCTGACCAGTTTTTTTTTGGTTGTTTTTTGTTGGGAAGCATTTTACATTCTTTGCTTATTGTGGTTTTAGTGGTTGAAATCCCCACTTAATTGCTACAATTTTTGAATGTTTGCTCCCCTTCCAGCGTCAACCAAGCAGGGAGAGGGGGGAATCCCTTTTGACAAGTATTTTTTCTCGGAGGGACCAGAGTCAGAGTATTGTGTTGATGTTGCTCATAGTGACGATATTGATCATTCTCGAAATGTTGTTGCTGGGGATGCTATCAATGGTGGGGATGTTGCAGAACAAGCCTCAACCCAGAATCCCTTGTTGCATGATGTGCCCTTTTGTTTTTTTGACTTTTGGCTGTTTTGGTTGGGTTTGCTGAGGTAGAGGCTCGGATTTCAGGAAGGAGATGAGGCAGTGGATGGACGAAATCCATTTCGCACCACCTAAGAGACCCTGGAATGATAATTCGCCAGTACATACCAACAAACAATGGTTTCCCATAGTTTCAAGGTGGTGCGAAATGGATTTCGTCCATCCACAGTTGGATCGGCCTGAAGCCCAAAAAAGAATTCGTAAAGCTATGTGTGGCCATCCGAATGCCAGGCAGGTTGCGGTGCTTGTTGCAACTGACGACTTTCATCGGTGTCTCCGAAGGGAGAATGACTCAAGAATGAGGAACCTGGACAGGTGCCCTCTGGCTGTTGAGGGTACCCTTGTTCGGGTGGTGTAAAGAGAGGACCGAAGCCATTTGCGGGTGCCAAACCCGAAAAAAAAGGGCACACAGACCACCATTTTGAATGTTCCTCAAAATAGGAGTCGGGGGGGAGGTTCCCCTAAACCAAAGACGCACAAGTCTTCGCCTTTTTTTCGTCGGGGATCTGAACCCCGAACCCCCCCAACCCCAACCCCTGAGTTGATCAGAGAATCCTAGTGTAGATGGACCAAGGGCTGCTAGGTTCATCCTGGAGTTTCATGCGCCACTCAGAACAATGGGTAGCTTAGGCTAATGAGGATGGTCCCCTGATGCGGGTTGTACTGTTTTTTGGTTTCCATGTGTTTAAACTATGGTTGAAACCATGACGTGGTCGGTATTTACCGGCGAGTTTCAAATCAGAAACCGTTGGGTTTCTCTGAACGGTGGTGCCAAAAAGAGATGAATTTCGCAAAAACAAAATATCTCTGAACGGTGGTGCCTAAAAATGGGATTCGCAACTATCCACCGTAGGTCTTTGGGGACCAAAAACGGCACGCCG